TATTATAATGAAGTATGTCTCTTATACTCACTCATTGAGATTTTTTTAAATCATGAATGGATGTTGAATTTTGCCAGATGCTTTTTCTGCATCTATTGAGGATCAGATGAGTTTTTATCCTACCTTTTGTTTATGTGGTGTATACGTTGATTGATTTGCAAATGTTGAATAATCTTCGTATCCCTGGAATAAATCCTACTTGATCATGGTATATGATCCTCATAATGTGCAGTTAGTTGAATTAGGTTTGCTAATACTTTGTTGAGAGTTTTTGCATCTCTGTTTATCAGGGATATTGGCTTGTGATTTTCTTCTGTTTTGATAGTATCTTTTTTCTAGTATTGGTATTAGCAAAATGCTGTCCTTGTAGAATGAGTTTTGAAGCATTCCCCTTTCTTCAGTTTTTTTCTTTAAAGAATTTTTCTTTAAAGAATTTAATTTAAAAAATTAAATCTTCTTTAATTTTAGGTAGATTTCATCACTGAAGCCTTCTGGTCCTGGACTTTTGTTTGTTGGAAGGTTTCTATTTTATTGCTGATTCAATCTTTTTAATTCAATTGGTCTATTTAGATTTTGTATTTTTTTCTTGGTTCAGTCTGGAAGATTGTATTTTTCTAGGAATTTATTTCTTTTAGGTTGTCCAATTCATTGCCATGTAATTGTTCATTGTAATATCTTATGATCTTTTGTTTTTCTGTAGTATTAGTTGTGACTTTTCTTTCATTTCTCATTTTATTTGAGTCCTCTCTTTTTCTTGGTGAGTCTAGCTAAAGGTTTGTCAATTCTGTTTATCTTTTTAAAGAACTAGCTCTTAGTTTTATTGATCTTTTCTATTATTTCTTTTTAAAAATGTTTTCCTTGATTTTATAGAAATAGGAAGGAAGAGGAAGAGAGGAAATATCGATGTAAGAAAGAAACATCAAGCAGTTGCCTCCCTGACATGCCTTGACCTAAGATCAAAGTGTTAAACTTTCAGTGCACAGGTCGATGCTCAAGCACTTGAGCCACACCAGCCAGGGCGAGAAGAATGTATGTTTTTTTTTTTTTTCTTTTTCTTTTTTTAATATATTTTATTGAAATTTTTACAGAGAGGGAGGGAGAGAGATAGAGAGCAAGAAATGTCAATAAGAGAGAAACATCAACCAGTTGCCTCTTGCACACCCCCTACTGGGGATGTGCCTGCAACCAAGGTACTACATGCCCTTGACCGGAATCGAACCCGGGACCTTTCAGTCCACAGACCGATGCTCTACCACTGAGCCAAACCGGTTTCAGCAGAATGTATGTTCTGTTGTTGTGGGTAGAGTGTTCTCCAGCTCGTTTGTAGTACTTTTCAAGTCTTCTCTGTGTTAACTTTATGTGAAGTTGTTCCATCCATTATTGAAAGTGGTATATCGAGGTCTCTAGCTATCTGTACTAATAAAAGGGTAATATGCAAATTGGCGGGGATGCCCTCACACAACGACCAAACAGCAGGCTGCGTGGGGTGACCAGGCCAGCAGGGAGGCCAGTGAGGTGCGACCAAAGGACCGAACAGCAGGATGCGTGGGGTGATGCGGCCGGCAGCGGGGGCAGTGAGGGGCGATCAAACACTGAACAGCAAGCTGTGTGGGATGACTAGGCCAGCTGGGGGGGTGGGGGGAGGGCGGGCAGTGAGGGGTGACGGACAGTGAGGGGTGACCAAATGACCAAAAAGCAGGCTGTGTAGGGTGACCAGTTCAGCAAGGGGGGGCAGTGAGGGGCAACCAGGCTGGCACGAGGGGCAGTTACAGGCGATTAGACTGGCAGGCAGGTGAGTGGTTAGGAGCCAGCAGTCCTTGATTGTGAGAGGGACCTAAACTGGCAGTTGGACATCACCCTAGGGGTCTGAGATTGGGGAGGGTGCAGGCCGGGCTGAGGGACCCCTCACCCATGCACAAATTTTGTGCACCAGGCCTCTAGTCCTATATAATAAAAAGGGAATATGCAAATTGACCATTACACCATCACAAAATGGCAGTGCCCACAGAGGAGGCAGGGTCTCTGTAACACAAGATGGTTGCACTCACAGCAGAGTCTGAGTTCCTGTAATGAGCCGTAAGGAGCAATCAGCAGGGACCTGAGGCTCTGCTGGGCTGGGGCAGAGGACCTGAGCCTACGGCTCCTGCCTAGTGGGGCTCAACTGGGTACCTCAAAGTGTGTGCCCCCTGCCCAACTGCATGAATTTCATGCACCGGGCCATTAGTATTTAATGAAGGAATTTGGCAATGTAGCAGGATATAAAATTAACGGCCAGGAATAGATGGCATTTTTATACACCAGTAATGAATGCTCAGAAACTAAATAAACAATCCTACTTGCCATAGCAACAACAAAATTAAGATACCTAATAATAAACTTTACCAAGGAGGTAAAAGAATTATACTTGGAAAACTACCAGATGATGATAAAATGAGATAGAGGAACATATAAACAAGAGGAAGAATATACTGTGTTCATGGATTGGTAGAATTAACATCATTTAAATGTCCATATTATTCGAAGCAATTTATAGATTCTGTGCAACACCTATTAAATTAACAATAGTATATTTCACATATCTAGAACAAATACTCCAAAAATTTATATGGATACCAAAAAGATCCCTAATAGCTTCAGCAATGTTGAAAAAGAAGAACAAAGTTGCAGGGATCACAGTATCCGATATGACCTTATACTACAAAGTCACTATAGTCAAAACAGCCTGATACTGGCACAAGAACTGACATATATTTCAATGGGACAGAACAGAGACCCCAGAAATCACCCAAACCATTATGCTCAATCAATACTTGATAAAGGAGGCAAAGGTATACAATGGCCTCAAGACAGTATCTTCAGTAAATGGTGTGGGGAAATTTGGACAGGTACATGCACAAAAATGAAACTAGACTACCAACTTACACCATACACAAAATAAACTCAAAATGGATAAAATATTTAAATGTAAGACATGAAACCATAAAAATCCCAGAAGAAACTATAGGCAGCAAAATCTCAGACATCTCTCATAGCTATGTGTTTGCGGATACATCTTCTAGGGCAGAGGAAACAAAGGAAAAATGAACAAATGGGACTGCAAAATAAAAACCTTTTGCACAGCAAAAGAAACCATCAACAAAATGAAAAGGGAATCCACTGTATGGGAGAACAGATTTGGCAATGATCCATCTGATAAAGTGTTAATTCCCGAAATATATAACTCATATATAAGAAACTCAAACAAATTAACAAAGGAAGATAAACAATCCAGTTAAAAAATGGGAAAGGACCTATATAGACACTTCTCCAGAGAGAACATAGAGATGTCCAAGAGACATATGAAAAAATACTTGCAGTCACTATGCAAAATAAAACGACAATGAGGTATCACCTCACACCTGACAGAATGGCTACCGTCAACAAATCAACAAATGGCAAGTGCTGGCGAGGATGTGGAGAAAGGAAACACTAGCACACTGCTGGTGGGAATGCAGACTGGCAGCCATTATAAACACAGTATGGAGTTTCATAAAAAGATTAAACATGGAACTGCCATGTGGCCCAGTGATCCCACTTGCACAATCTGTAATAGTTAAGATCTGGAGTCAGCCCGAGTGCCCATTAGTAAATGTGTAGGTAGAAAAGCTGTGGTACATTTACACCATGGTATATGCAGCACAGAAAAGAAGGATCTCTTACCCTTTGAGACAGCATGGAGGGAACTGGAGAGTATTATGCTAAGTGAAATAAGCCAGTCAGCAGTCAGCGAAAGACAAGTATCTCATCATCTCACTTATTTGTGCAATGTAGGGAACAAAATAAACTGTTGAACAAATTAGATCTAGAGACACAGAAGCATGGAATAAAACTGCTGAATCCCAGAGGGAAGGTGGAAGTGGGTGGGTGGGAAGTGATCAGTGAAAGAGCTTGTATGCATATATGGACATAGACAATAGGGTGGTGGAGGCCTGGAGTGGGGTGAAAGGGCAGGCTATAAGGGGCAGTGGGAGAAAACAGGGGACATAAGTAATACTTTCAACAATAAATGTTTTTTAAAAAGACTAGACCTATTAGAGTAGATTGAGGGTTAGTGTATTTCAACAGTAAAGATTTCTTTAAAAAAGACTGTAACTATTATGATAGTGTGTTGAGCTAGACAAGAGTGAAGCCAGCTAGCTAGAGGTTAAAAAATAAAAATCAAATAAAATGAATGGGTTTCAACCAGGATCATCTTACATTTACCTGATTAAGTTTTTAGGGATCAGGAATGTGACCAAAGTCTGGCCTAGGGAAATCTTTGCAGAATAGGAAGTACAGAGGAAACGTTTAGCCTGTGGAAATTAATAATTATGCTATATCAGACAAGATCAGGCGCATTCAGATTATTATGCCATCTACATGTATAAAAGCCTAAGTGACTGTCCAACTATTCAACTGTCCGTCTGGTAGCTATGATTTGCACTGACCACCAGGGGGCAGATGCTCAGTGCAGGAACTTCTGAGCTGCGGTGGCTTGGCAGTTGCGGTTCTTGGGTTACACACCGGAACCAGAGTGGAGGGAGCCCAATTCCAGGGTGTGTCACCCGAGAACCACCTTCTTGCAATCCGGCACCCGTTGGGGGATATCAGAGAGCTGGTTTAGGCCCGATCCCCTCAGGCCAGGCTGAGGGACCCAACCAGTGCACGAGTCCATGCACTGGGCTTCTCGTTAGATATATTATCATCAGTTTCAATGCCTCATTCCTGTCTTTTTACATCTTTACAGTTGTTTATGCCTTTTGAGAAATGATGTTAATATTATTCTTGAAGTGTTCATTTTAAAAACTTTGTCTTTTTCTCCCTATCTTTTAATTTCTAAAATGTTCATATTCTGACAGATACTAAGAGCACACTTAATGGTGCTTTGTTATATAACTCATCAGGGATCCTTTTTATTTTCAGTTCTGTTTTATGTTGTTTGTTGTATTTGTTTTAGAAATAACTTTTGGGTTTGCTTCTAGAAAAACTGGTTGCTTATCAACGAGAATTTCTTGCTCTGAAAGAACGCCTTCGGATAGCTGAACACAGAATCTCTCAGCGCTCTTCTGAGTTGAGTGCCATTGTACAGCAGTTCAGGCGTGTAGGAGCAGAGACAAATGGAAGTAAGGACACACTGAATACATTTTCAGGTAAAAAGTATATTTTTAGTTTTATAAGAAGATTATATTTTTAGAGGGTTCTGTGAAATACTTTATTTGAAAGTTATAGAGTAGCTTATCAGCTAACATTTGTTACCCTTTTTAGAGAGGTTAATTATCACAGAAAATTTTCTATTATGGTAAATTATAAAGCAGTTTTTATTTAAGAGAGTAATTAATGGGTTAAAATTTAATTGTGTAGGTTTCATTAATAATAGTGTTTTTAAAATCATATTCAAAGTGAGATAAAAATGTAACTTTGCATTTATACATGCTTATGTTGTGACTTGTGTGGACCTCACATGAACTCTGGAGAATCTTTGCGTGCTTTGATCTGACTTATAAGAAAAAAAATATTAAGTTTTATAAAGGGTACTTTTAGAGATATTTGATTTTTTTCTCTGAGAACTTCTGGTTAGAATATGATGAGTGCCAATAATCTCTCTTGTTTCTGTACCATTCTTATTCTAATAATCAAATTAATATATGTGTATGATCAGTTGCTTTAAAATTTACATACTATTTCAAGATTAATGTACTTTTAGCATAATCCGTTCTAATCCTTTACCATTAATTTCTTTTGTCTTAAGATTCACTACCTTACCTTACTTTAAAAATTTCCTGCTTAATCATTTTCCCTTCTGATTATGAAATTGTATTGTGGCACAGTAACATGTAAATTATGGAATGGTAACCTAGCTAGAGTGGCTCAGTTGGTTGAGCGTCATCCTGTGTCCTGAGTGATTGCCGGTTCGATACCTGGTCAATGCAAAGTTCGATTCCTCTTCGGGCACATACAGAAGGCACCAACTGATGTTTCTCACATCAGTCTCTCCCTTTCTTCTTCTCTCTAAGCATGTTCGTGTGAGGATTAAAAAATAATAATATTAAAAATAAATAAAAGTATGGAATGGTATAAGTAATAAAAATAAAGTAATAAAGTTTTCTGCCAAATGATTTCAGTTAACTTTTTTTTTGTTTCTGTCTAGTCTTTTTTTATGAATATTTTTCTTCAAAATTGTTATTGTTATAGCCTGATTTTTACTCTTCAAATTGTGTATTAGAACTTACTATGTCATTGAATATTCTCCAAAAATACCATTTCTAATGGCTGTATAACTTATCAGATAATTATTTACTGTAATATATTAAACACTTTCTAATAATTAGGCAAATAGATTTTTCTGTCCTAGTTTATAGCTCTGTGATAAACATCTTTGCATACTAATCAATCACACTTCTGGTAGCTCTTATGTTATTTTCATTAGATTATGCCTTTCTTAAAAACAAGATCTATGTTTTGATGACCATTGAATTTTAACAACACAGCACAGTGGCTGGAACAAAATAGATAATCACTAAATATTCATTGAATGCATAAAAGTTAAATTCCTAAAAGGGAAGTTATTGAATAACAGGACAGAGATGTTTCAGGGTTTTTGATTTTTTCTGAATAGCTGAAACATTTATCACATTATCACCAAAATTTAATATTAATATTTAATTTTATTGCAAAAGCATCTTTTTCACTTCAAATGGAGATCCCATTCACCAAAGTATAAAATTAGGAAAGAAAATTCTTATGGTACCAAAAGGCCGTAAAAATGCACATAACTCTCATTAGTTCCTCTGGGTGATGTTTAGGTTTTGCTAAAAGGCAACTGTGAGTTTTCTGCAACTCCTGTGTACAATTCAGCCTTTTTAGGAAGCAAAGGAGGCTGACGGCCTCTGAAATGTATGCTGGAGCTGTGAGAACTATTTATTTGATGGGAGCTGTCATGATAATCTGTAAATTTTTGTTGTGGACATAATCCAAACTTCCATACAAATAGGCCCATAAGGGTGGCGAGACTGGTTCCCTGAAGGCTTGCAAACACCGGTCTTTTCTCGGCACATCTTACCTAATTGCAGAGGGAAAATAGTCTTAAACAACCTCGTCCGGCTTGAATGTCATGCACACGTGGGGAGGATCTCACAGTTTTGCTTTGAAGAAAATGTGTTGCTTTTTAAAGCTTTGATGGTCCTTCCTAAATCTTCACTTGCAAGGTGTAAAACATTAAGGGATCACCTTAATTATTTTGTCCTGTTTGAAGCAATAAACAGCTGCTGACGCTGATTTAAAACAGAAAAAAAAAAATTCTTTAGTTCTAGTTTTCATAAATTTTACTGCTGTGTTTGTAAAAACTGAAACTTCTGTAGGTAAGGTGTCTTGTGCAATAATTACACTTCTGTGTTTCAGATAATACCCTAAAGCTATTAAAGGAGTTAACAGGCAAAAAATCTCTCCGCGTGCCAAGTATTTATTATCATTTGCCTCATTTATTGCAAAATGAAGGAAGCCTTCAACCTGCTGTGCAGATTGGTAATGGAAGGACAGGAGGTATGTTCATTTGGTTTCTTATTGTAGCTATACTGCTAGTCTTAATGTGTGTATTGGAGTATTACATTGTCAGAAGTTTGGCAGGTCAAAGAATAAAAATTATTTTTCTGTGCATAGTAACTTAGGACTCATTCTAAAGTTTATGCTAAGAGGAGTTGGACATTTTTCTCCATAGACAAGATCAGTAGAGCTGAAAAGGATCATGAGAAATCTAGTTCAAGCTCCATCTCTGGGCAGAAAAATGTTTCAGCCTTTGTCTTTTTGTTGTTAATCCTCACCCGAGGATATTTTTTCTTCATTGATTTTTAGGGAGAATGGAAAGAGTAGAGAGAGAAACATTGATGTGAGACAGACACATGGTCTGGTTGCCTCTTGCATGCACCCTGACCGGGACTGGGGATGGAGTCTGCAGCTAGGTACATGCCCCTGAGCAGAACTAAACCCAAGACTCTAAGCATTAAACCAAACCAGCTATGGTAAAATCTTTGTCATTTTTTATTTTGAATATTAAAATTAATCCATATGCTGACCCTCCCACAGTATTTGCAGAGGCAGGCTGCTGTCTTCCAGAGGAGATGATAAATCTTAAAAGAATGTGTTCAGACTATAATTTAAGAAATATTTACAATTTAAGAAATATTTTTTAGAAGGTACTAGATAAACAAAGACTAAGGAGATGTGCAGCATACTCAAAAGTATTTTTTTTTTTTAGAACATTGATCATTATTTCTGAAGCTGATAATTGTATCTCTCCCTTTAATAATCACTATTTAGGTAGATGCCGTAAGCCATTTAGTGAACTTGTTGATTTAGACTTCATTAATCATTAATAAAAATACTGAAGGAAAGTACAAGTGTTTTTAAAGTAATTTAAAACTATAGAATCACAAATATATTCTTTTGTAGTAGTCTGTTTTTATTTTATAAATGTGACATTCTGTTCCTTTTGAAGATACTTATTTCATCCCATTTGCTTATAATTTTATCCATCTTAAATAAAATGAAATCTTGGCCAACCAGCTTTCCTGTAGTTAACATTCTTTTTTTTGTTCTTGTTAATCCTCACCTGAAGATATTTTTCCATTGATTTTTTTAGGGAAAGTGGAAGAGAGAGGGAAAGACAAAGAGAAACATTGATGTGAGAGAAACACATTGATTGGTTGCTTCAGAGGGCCAGGGCACTTGACCGGAATCAAATCTGGGACCCTTTGGTCCACAGACCAACGCTCTATCCACTGAGCCAAACCAGGGAGGGCCAGTTAACATTCTTATCAAGCTAACACTATTTTTGGGAAATAGAAAAATAAGATAACTCAAAGATAAAAAAGAAAATTCTTACATTTACTTTAAAAAAACATACCTCCCTTTTAATCCCTTAGGCAATAGTTCTTAACGCTTTTATATCACAGAAACCTTTGGCTAGCCTAGGAAAGCTGTCAAGACTTCTACTTTAAAAATGCACATAGGAAAAGTAAATTTGTGTATAACTTCTGGGATTTTGTGGAACCCAAAAACCTAGTTAGGGACTTTATACTAAGAAGATAGTTTTTAGATGAAAGAAAAAGTGCTTCTTGCTAAAAATCCTGTTCTTCAGTGGTCAGACTGATAAGGAACAATACTCAGACCAGCTTAGCTAAGCCTTCGAGGAGTGACGAGGGAGAATAGTGCTCCAGGCAGCTCCTCCTCCTCTAGCATTCTCACAGCCCGCCCCCACCACATTCAGTCCTCCCACAGCATTTGCGGAGGCAGGCTGCAGTGCACAGAACAAGCAAGTACAGGTGGGTGAAAGGCCATCTTGTAAACTCGATTTTCCAAGTAGTTCAGAAAATTGACGTCATGAATTGACCTAATACTCAAGGAAATGAATTTGTAATTACAATGTAGTTTAAAAATAAAAACAATGTATATTCTTAATTTTTATTTATTGATTAATTTTAGAGAGATATAAAGAGGAAGAGAGGGATAGATAGAGATATCATTTTGTTCTTTCACTTATTTATGCATTCATTGTATGAATCCTGACTGGGAATCGAACACTCTAAACAATAGAGCTACTTGACTAGGGCCAAAAATAATACATTTTTAGAGGGAAGAGAGAGGTCAACTCATAACTGATTTTTATAAAAGGATTAGCTAGAAATCTTTGTGTTTTTACTTGAATGGTTATATTTAAAATTTTCACATAAATGGATTGATAATCAAAGTAGACACAACTTAAAGTCAAATTAGTGATCAGAAAAATTGAGCTGTGTAGTTCTTCCAGACTGCAGCAAAGAATTGGGGCCGACAAAAGTTTGAACATCTGTCTAATAGGAATTTCAGGAGAGAGTGAAGAGCGTGAAGAGAAGAAATAAATACATAATTGAGGAACATTTCTTTGAGTTAAACGCACAGGTCTTCAGATGAAGGGCATGTTCAGTGCTGAGCAGGGTGGCTGAGAAAGACCCTCCTTAGATACTGCCACAATGGCATATTGGTTGGTAGACGACCAATTACGACCTTTCACGTAATTGCTGAAATAAAAAAACCCATGAGCACCTGCTGTGTGCCAGGCATTTAGCCAGGAACTTTGGTATATAAAATTAGACAGGGTCCCTAATCTTGTGGAACTTCAATTCAAAGGAGAATGCATTAGTTAAATAATCAATTATATAAACAGTTGCATAGTTACAGCTTTAATTGGTGACATAAAGGATGTGTTGAGTATGTACATAAAGAGCATTTGATTTAAGTAAGGACTATGGGGAAGTTTTTAAAAATACATTGGAACTGAGATCAGTAGAATATGTAGTTCCCTGCTAAAGATGGGTGTATTTGCTTTGTATTTCTGCTATAACAAATTACCACAAACCCAATGACTTAATACAATACAAGCCTATGATCTTATAGCTTTGGGTGTCAAAAGTCCAGAAAGTAAGTGTGTTGACAAGGACGTGTCTCTTCGGGAAACTTTAGGGAGGAGCCCATATCCTTGCCTTTGTCAGCTCCTAGAGATCACCTGCATCCATCAGTTCATGCCCCTCCTGCATCTTCAAAGCACAGCACCTTCAACACACTCTCTGACTCCCTTGCTTCCATTGTCATATTACCTCTCATTCTGACTCTCCCGCCTTCCTCTCATAAGGACCCCTGTGAGTACATTAGGCTCACGTGGGTCATACAGGATAATCTTCCCATCCAGAGACTCTTAATCATCTCTGGAAAGCCTCTTTTGCCACATAAGGCAATATGTTCACAGATCCCAGGAATTAGGGCATGGGCTTGTTGGGGAACGGGTCAGTATTCCACCACATGTGAGAAAAGGATACAGTATTCCAGAAAATGAGAAAAGCACTACAAAAGCCTTGAAGGAAGGGAGCATGGAATAGTCTAGAAAATGGAGACAGCACTGTAGATGAATTATAGAGTGATGGGAATTATGGAACAAGATGAGACTAGAGAGGTATTGAGCCCCTACCATGCAGGACCTTGCAGACCAATTGTAGGGTTTTGGATTTTTATCCTAAAAGCAGAAAGAAGCCACCGATGGGTTTTAAGCAGGACTTACTTTGGATGACTTCATAAGATTTAAATTTTGCAAAGCTCACATTTGATGCAATGAGAAAAATGATTGAAAATGTGGGAAGAAGAGTAGATGTGAAAGGACTCAGTAAGAGACTATTGTAGTGATCCACTTGAGAGAGGGTGAGCTTGGGCCAGGTGGTGGTAGTAGTAGGGATGGAAAGAAGAAGATTTACGAATTGTTTGGGATGTATGGGGATATATGCATGGGAGGACATAGTGGTGGACGGTTTTGTCGGCTAAGGTAAGGGAGTAAGTAATCAGGGATAGGACCTAGACTTATGGATTATATAACTGGGTGGCTGGTACTATTCATGTGATAAAGGACAACAAATGTTTTGTAATATTAGTTTCGAAGCAAGACCATACATTAAATTTGGGTTTAATTTTATGATTTGTCATTTGCAAATAACTGGTTTTTGAAGATACAAGGGTGGATGATATCACCCAGGACCTAGAACTGAGGACCTAGAACAGTTAGTTTTCAGGAAAAAGAAAGATGAAGCCAACAAAGACAGAGAAAGTGCAACTGGACCATAGAGATAAAACTGTTGTCATGGACTAGAAGGAAAGAAATGGGGAATAAATGACTAAAATCAAACCAGAGGAAACATGGTAGGATAAAAATATTTGATTAGCAATGAATATTGAAAAAGAAAAGCAATTTAGTTATAACTGAAGGTAGACTAGTAATTGAAGATTCAGAATGCCAAATTAAGATTGTCCTTAATTTTTTTTATCATAAAGGAAATAAATACTAGAATTTGTAAACTTCCCAGAAAAGTTGAAGAAAATGGAAATATCAATTGCTATCTCTGTCAAATTATAAAACCATGAGGCAAGAGCTTTACCTATCTTACAACTATATTTTAGATAGTCTAGTACATAATTGATGTATTATAGGTGCAGTTAATACTTGAATAGGAAATATTGGATGATTAATTACTGGGACAAAGAACTTAGAACAACCCTTTGTCTCCATTTCTGCTTGGTTCCTTGGTCCACCTTGCTCCTCCACAAAAGGATGATATGTCTGTATTATTCACATTGCTGCCGTATTAGTTCTGAACTCTTTCTTATCCCTTAGTATTCATACATTTTTAGATTGCAAGCCACAGAAGAACGTTTTATCACACAGGACCAGGGCAATTAACAACTTCAAATCTCAGTGGGTGAAGTAATACAGTTATTTGTTTATTTACTGCTCAAAGTATGTCCATCAGGGTTGGCAGGGCTTTGTGCATCATTGGTCACGCAGAGATCCAGGCAGACAGAGCAGTCAGCATCTGAACTTTGCTGGTTGCTCTGCTGAGGAGAGAGGACAGCTCGGAAAGCCTCACTCTGCAGTACCAGGGGCTCAGCCCCTGACTTACCTGTGGGATGACTCACTGTTACTGTCACACCCCCTCCCACTGTTCTCCCCAACCCTACGGGGACAGGAAGTGCAATCCTGCCTGTGACCAGAAGACTGGAAAAACTGTCTTTTTTGTGTGTGTTTGTGGTAATTTTGTGAAATACCACAAGCGTGGATACTCTAATTCTGAAAGCTTAGCTGAAATTAGTACTTTCATTTTTAGTGTTTTTGGAGTCTTTGAATGCCTTGTTTTAAACTAAAGAATTTAAATTTTAGCTCCAAAACAGTATATCAGGTGCTTCTCTAAACATGCCATCTAAACTTAGAAACAACTCAAGACAGTGGTAGGGAATAGAGTTTGCATTATAATTTTAATACCGTTTGTGTTTGCATACTTTGGGTCAGCATATATTTTTGTTTTTTCCATACACACAGTCTTTGAACTCCATATGAGTTAACATTTCTTAGGAATGTTTTGTATCATAGATGATATATTTTTAATCTGTGTTCTAAATATTTAAAATGTTTTTAATTTAAATTTTGAGGTAGGTTGAAGTATAATATATGGAAATTTGTGTCCAGGGTAACTCATCCTGCCTTGAGGCATATCAGAGTAACATGCTCAAAAGTGTGTTGTTCTCAATAAAAGATCCTCCATCCACTTAAGTCATCCTTCAGTTCTCCTCTTCCTTTGTCTCTAAGTCCCAGGGGAAAGGGGTCTTCAAAATATGTCCTAGCCCTGGCCTCGTAGCTCAGTTGGTTGGAGCATTGTCTCGTCTCGTACACACAAAAAGGTTGTGAGTTCAATTCCCAGTCAGGGCACATACCTTGGTTGTGGGTTTGGTCTCTCCCTCCCTCCCTCCCTCTTTCCCTCCCTTCCTCTCTTTCTGTCTCTCTCTTCCTCTCTCTAAAAATCAATAAGTGTATCCTCTAGTGAGGATACCATATATCCACCCACTAATCCAGCCACTCATCTCCATTTTTAAATGCCCTAATTCAAACTACCATCTTTCCCTTTAATTACTGAATAGCTTCCTGATTTCTCCCAAAATGCTTTTACTCTTAGCACTTTTGTTTCTGTTCTCCACAAAATTTGGTAAACTTTTAAAATTAACAAATTGGATAATGTCACTCCCCTATTTATAGCTTTATAATTGCTTTTGCTTTCTCTGAATTAAAAACTAAACTTAAGGTTTCATGTGAAATGACCCTAACTACTGCTCTGAATCTTGGCTCTTTCTCAGTTATGTTAAGATCATTGTCTCTTCAGGGCCTTGCTGTTTCTTCTGGAATGTTTTTCCTCTGCTCTTTCTCATCATTAATTACCAGAGAGGCCCTCCATGACCCTCACTGTCTATAAAGGTACCTCCTCTTAACCCCCTCTCTTTCTTATATTGCCTGTTTTAATTTGTATAGTACATATTACCTCTAAGATTGTATTATTTTATCTTCTCTTCTAGAATGTAAGTTCCATGAGGGTAGGGGCCTTATCCATGCTCTTCACTATTCTATTACAGTCACTAATATAATGCCTTACATTTAATAGGTGTTTAGTAAATATGTTCAGGAAAATGTAGCAAATCTCTTTTTGAGCTCTTGTAAACTCTTTGTCCCAAAATGTGAAATTTGGGCAAGTTTCTTGAATTATTTGGATCTTACAATTCTTATCTGTAGAATCATGGTGATAGACTTGTAGATCCATGATCTTTAACTTTCCCTTTAGCTTTAGAATTCTGTGAATTTTAAGTATTTTATAGTATCTCCAATTAATTGATAATACTTAATTATTTAAAAATATATAGAGTATTTTTCTACTGATATGTAATATGCAGTATACTAAGACTTCTTAAGAGGTGATATTTTTAAAAACTTTCTGGGACATACAGTCCTACTGTAACACAATATATGCATTTCTAAAAATTACTGCTCTATGCAGAATTGTGCAGTAAACTGAGAAAAATGGGATTAGGTTCACAACACTCAACAATTTTGCCTGTTAAACATTTAAAAATATAAGAACTTAAAAATGGTAGCATAATTCTACACTTGTTAAGTGATTAATAAATAGAAAATTGCTACAATAAAGGTGGTATCTGCCTTGTAATGGACCTCGGGTTTGTGTGTTAAAATGGGTTTCAGAAGGCCTGCAGCTGGGAAGCTCTGAGAAATGGTGCAAAGGGAGTTCTCTGAGGCCTGACAGGAAGTGGTCACACCAGGTGAGGGTAGGTGTGGTCTTAGCGGGCAGTGAGCTGGCAGTATGTGCATTTTGTGCGTCCCCACAATGCTCCTTTCCAATAGGTGCAACTTCCTGTGAGTGCTTGTTCCTTCCAATAGGTGAAACTTCCTGTGAGTGCTTGTTCCAGAGGAGAAGTTCCACATAAACAAACGTGAAATCAGTGTTATGCTGAAATGGCTCCTTAATATACTAATCACACATAGGGACAAGTTTGCATTTCAAAACAGGCATAATAGTAGAAATGAAATTTTAGACTTAAAAACAATTACATGAATAGTACAACTTCCATATAGTTCCTCTAAACATTTTCATCTTCTATAACCATAGTACCATGCTCAAAACCAGAAAATAAACATTGATGTTTACTGTTATTTAACCTTCAATCTTGTTCACATTTTGCCATTTTTTTAATTAGTATTTTTGTTTGTTTGTTTGTTTCTGGATCCAGCTCAGGATCCCATATATTTTTAAAAATATATATTTTATTGATTTTTACAGAGAGGAGGAGAGAGGGATAGAGAGCTAGAAACGTCGATGAGAGAGAAACATCCACCAGCTGCCTCTTGCACACCCCCTACCGGGGATGTGCCCGCAACCAATGTACATGCCTTTGACCGGAATCGAACCTGGGACCTTTCAGTCCTCGGACCGACACTCTACCACTGAGCCAAACCAGTTTCGGCCAGGATCCCATATTTTGCTCAGTTATCATATCTTAGTCTTCTTCAGTCATGGACAGTTCCTCATTCTTTCTTATAATATTTTTCCTGATCATGATACTTTAGAGAATACTAACCAATGACTTATTTTGTGATGTAGTCCCTAATTTGTGTTTGTTTCTTCATGGTTAGATTGAGATTATTCATTTTGGGCAAGGAAACTACAGAAAAGATGTCATGTGGCCTTCCCTGTGCATCATATATATGAGATTTGGGACATTAATTTTTAAAAATACATTCTTTTTTATTTTAGAGAGGAAGGGAGAGGGAGAGGGAGGGAGATAGAAACATCAATGATGAGAGAGAATCATTGATTGGCTGCCTCCCACTAGGCATTGAGCCCCCAACCCAGGCATATGCCCTCACTGGTAATCAAACTGTGACTTCCTGGTTCATGAGTTGATGCTCAACCACTGAGCCATGACAGCTGGGCTGGAACATTGATTTTTAAGATATGTTTAGTGTTTCTAAGGTTTAGTTGTATAATTAAACTTGTTGTTTATACTTTACAGTCACTTTTTAATATGAGTTTTAATATCGTTCATTTTTATCGGTTCTTTGACATTATTTCTTTTTTCTTATGGACTATTTCTTTCCTTAAGTTCTGTGAAAAAGAATTACAGTATTATGGGTAATGCCTTTCTATCCTTTGATTATTTTTCTTTCTGAAATGTAGTATATTTTGATACCTCAATTATTTTCATCAATTTGAAGGGTATAATATTTTTGAAGTAGTAGTATTTTTATATATTGTCTTTGTAAAATCTTATGTAATTATAATTTTGTTTCAGTTTCAGTAGTAATGGGAATTCCTACTGTGAAGAGAGAAGTTAAATCTTACCTCGTAGAAACTCTTCATTCCCTTATTGATAATCTGTATCCTGAAGAGAAATTGGATTGTGTAATAGTAGTCTTCATAGGAGAGGTAATTATTTAATTGTTGTGATTTTTACACCTATAATCTATAAGAGTTAAAACTATAATTGAATATTTGAATATATTTTTATGAGCATTTAAAAAAATGTGAGTAAAGTTTAGGTAATATATTCTATCTAATGATTAAATTTAAATCTTAACTTAATGTTTGCCTTAACTTTTTTACTGCAGCTACCGCTCAGGATAATATCACACACATAAGTCTTTCAGAGCAGTGAGTTTCTGTTTCTAGTTACAAAACCCAAATTTGGAGATTTGCACTGGTGTTCTTTGGGAGTATAGAAAGCTGAGAAAAGTTTAGTCCAGACATGGGTTTTAACATCTTGTTATTCTCTCGACCCCTTGAGTCTGTACTCTCAAGATGCAACCATCATCCATTATTGAAAAGGTCAAAATATCACAAGAATGAGGAATATTATATTTATTGTATTTTAGTTTCCTCAAAAGTTCTAGGGAAAGAATAAATCTTGAGCAAGCTTTTCATAAATAATGAGAAAAATCACCCTGAAGTAATTATTTTCTTAATTATTATATAGAATTTCAATTGTGAAAGGATTTAGGACATCAGTTGGTTCTGGCCCATTGATTCCCAACTTTCAAGGTTTCCTCATCTTTCTAAATGAAAATGTTCTTAATGTGTTTCTTAATACAAGAATAGAACAGTTCTGTTCTCTAGAATAATAGAATTTAAAACAATAACAGAAATGTGTAAAGAAAAATTAGCTGCTATTCCTTCATACAGATATAATAATTAGATATTCTGAACTATATCTTAAGAAATATTTCCTGCCTTAGCAGGTTTGGCTCAGTGGATAGAGTGCTGGTCTGCGGACTAAAGGGCCTGGGTTTGATTCTGATCAAGGACACATGCCTGGGTTGTAGATTTGATCCCCAGTGGAGGGCTATCAGGAGACAGCCAATCAATGATTCTCTCTCTCCCTTCTTCTCTGAAATCAAATATATATATATATATATATATATATATATATATATATATATATATATATATATTTAAAAATAAAAATAAAATATAAAAATGAGCTACTATTTAAAAAAAAGAAAAGTATTTCCTGTGGCTTGTTTGTATGCGTGTGTTTGTGTGTGTGTGTGTGTGTATGTGTGTGTGTGTGTATGGATTTCTATATTTTAATGTGTGCATTTAAAAAATATATTATTGATTTCAGAGAAGAAGTTAGAGGGAGAGAGTGATAGAAACATAATGATGAGAGAAAATCATTGATTGGCTTCCTCTTGCATGCCCCACACTGGGGATTGAGCCCACAACACAAGCAAGTGCCCTGACTGGGAATCGAACCATGACCTCCTGCTTCATAGGTTGACACTCAACCACTGAGCCATGCCAGCTGGGCTCCCAGCCTTTTTTTTATGTTAAGAATAGACAGCATAGCATCATTTTTTTTCTGGCTATAAAATATTCCATTGTATGGTTTTAACACATTTAATTTCTGATTGCTAGACATTTAGACGGTTTTCAAGTTTTTTGTGTTATTTTCAGCATGGCATAAATTTTTGTGTCCTTTGTATAGTTACTGAGGTATGATCAGTTCCTAACTGTGGAGTGGTTTGGTCAGAGTCCACACACATCAAAATGTCTGTGCGTGGCCACAATGCCCGACGGAAGTAGAGCCAGTTTGTCCCTCTTCCAACATTCTGCGAGAAAGCTTTTTCCCCACCCCCGTGCTCTGCTAGATAATATCAGCTTTTAAATTTTTTGTCAGCTTGATGGATAAAAAATAATACATGGCTTTGCTTATTTGGATTTCTTTACTGATGGGGTTAAATGCTGATTTATAAGGTGTTTTTTTTTTTTACACCATTTGTATTTAAAATTATTTTTTTATAAACTTTGCTCTTTTTTATTTGTAAGAAAATTTCATATACGAGAGGAATAAATTATTTGAAATATTTAGTTCAGTTTGTCTTTTGCATGAACTTTGTATTTTTTTCTGTTACAGAAATTTTACATCTTAAGTAATTAAATTTGCCAGTTGCATATTGTATACAGTAGAAATTGATACCTCCTTAGAAAGCATTTGGCAATAGCTATTAAAATTTAAAGTATACTCTGTGACCCAACTTTCTGATTCTAAAATTGATTCACTAGTAACATTTGTAAGTGTGAAAATCTACTCAAGCATATACATATATGGAAATAGCTCCTGCATGCAGTAATAAAATAGAGAAAATGGTCTTGTGTAATATCCTGTCAACTATTAGTAGTCAGATATCTTGAGAGTTGGAATTATGGGAAGATGCCACTTTCTGTTGCATACAGTTTTATAAAATTGGAATTTTTTTTTTTTACAATGAACATATATTGATTTTTACTCAGAAAAAAAAGTCTTATTACTGTAAAAGAAGAAAACTGTCCTTATACACTTGAAAAATAGTGTTCAATATATAGACAAATTCGTGTACAGAAAAATTTAAGACCCTCTTGCCATAGCCATATATCTGATACTAAGATGTAGTAACAATAGGTTTGGAGTTGGATGACCTGAGGTCAGGCCCTGGATTCTGCCACTTACTGCCACTTGAGCGGGTCCTTTTTCTTTCTTCAGTCTCAGTTTCTTCATCTCTAACATGAAATAATGTTATTGAGCCTTTTGAACTCAGTGTTGGTGCAGGGGAGCACAGGAGATCACAGAAGGAGAGGTGTTGTAAATTCAGGTGTGGGCAGTATTCTGATCTCTGAAGACTCCTACCCCTGAATTGCAGTGTTTATATATGTATCTGTATAGAATTTTAATATTTGGAAGAAAATCTATACTGAAAGAAGAATTAATTTACAGAGTTGATTGAATTGCTTTTAGGCAATTTAAAATTTTGAATTCTTATATTCAATTCTACCTTAATTAGTAGTTTTATCCTAAGTGTCTGGTAGCTCATTAACACCAGTAGCAAGTGATAGTCTGTATAAGATTTCTTATAGCATTATATCATTGTTTATGTTATTTCTTATAGTATTATATCATTCATGATTATTTCTGACAAAACTTTTTCCTACATTGTACTCTTAAGTTTTAGCAAAAGTTATTTTTCCTGTCCCATTCTTACATTTGGAGAATTCCCTATTTTATGAATCTTGGTAAGAGGAAGGAACTACCTCCCACCCACTATTGAAACTAAAAATTCAGGTGTTTCCTTTACTAATTCAGGCATTTGACCTGGGCTCAGCCACTTGGTTATTCCTGCCCTGGACTTGAAGTGAGATCTATTATTTCCAGTTCACACAGAAAACCCAAAGGGATAAGTACACAAATTATTAAATTACTAGAGGCCCAGTACATGACATTTACGCGCAGGGCAGGGAGATCCCCTTGGCCCAGCCTGCACCCTTCCCAATCCTGGACGCCTCGGGGGGACGTCTAACTCCAGGTTTAGGTTTGAACCTGGGGATCGGACCTAAACTGGCAGTCAGACATCTCTTTCACAGTCCGGGACCACTGGCTCCTGACTGCTCACCTACCTACCTGCCTCATGGCCCCTAGCTGTCCCCCCTGCTTGCCTGGTCACCCCCAACTGCCCCCCTGCCGGCCTGGTTGCCCGTTACTGCCCTCCCCCACAGGCCTGGTTGCCCCTTACTGCTCCCCCTGCTGGCCTAGTTGTCCCCAATTGCCTCCGCCCCCCACTGGCCTGGCCGCCCCCAATGCTCCCTCTGCAGGCCTGGTTGCCCCATGCAATGTTTTCTTAGGCTTTTATATATATATATATATATATATATAGATTAGAAATAATGGGAATTTATCAGGATAGCGGGATATAGGATCAACTTATATTTCTAAATGCCAATAACAATAAGAAAATAACATTTAGGATAAATCTTTTTCTAAAGAAGCAGAGATTGTGGACAGTCCATTCTGGTGATAGATGGTGGCAGTGGGGGTGCCTTCCCCAGGGTCACAAGGGCAGGATTCAGAGGCTCTGAAAGCTTTGTAGCATTGGGAGCATTCTGTGATTCTGGCTGTGTCCAGCTTTATTTCCGCCACCTTCCAAGTCTGGTTCCTCTGCCTAACTGGAGGTCCCGTGAGTCCTCCCCATCATCTTTCAGTGTCTGACTTTCAGTATTCTGCCAGTCAGTTCCTAGTGCTATGAAGGTCCTGACTGGTACAGCTTACAACTTATCAAAAACACCTCAATTACTATAAACAGAACATGCAATCAGCATGGATGTGCAGTGCTAGGTGGCTAAATGCTATTCCAGTGGAAGAAATGAAATCTATTTTTAAGGTACGTTTCAGATAGAATATTACCAAATTTATAACAGCCACATTAAGTTGACCATAAAAATTGCCCCCCCCCCCCACCTACCCATCATGGCAGCTGCCTCTGCCTCGGCTCCCGCCTGGCTTCATCAGGAAGGTTGTCCAGAAGACCATCCAGTTTAATTAGCATATTTCGCTTTTATTATTATAGATTCACATTGTTTCTGTAATTTGCCTGATAACATTCCAAAGGCATATTTAAATTTTAAGGTCCTAAGCCAAAGAATTCAAGTTGAGATTCTTTAATGAAATAGAAATTTCATCATGTTAGAAAAGCACTAAAGGCGGGCTGCAAAACTGAGTTCACAGTTTCCAGCTCACAACGGTTTAGGATATAGCATAAAAAACGTTTTGCTTTTTATTTAGTTTTTTGCTTTTTACTATTGTACACATTTTAGTTTTCATTTTGTAGTCACTGTGCCTGAGGCCATTACTATGCCTTCGTTAAAATTCTTTTATTTAAATTGGGCTAATAGTGCTAGCTAGTTGGCTTATGGGTAGAAATATACAAAGCAGTAAATTTATAAATGAGTATAGAAGTTGAATAACCAGAGAATTGATCAAATTGTTTTTTAACTTTTCTATTATTTAGTTTATTTGCTAGGAAACATTGTTTCCTGTTTATTAATTCTTTGGATTGGTAATATGATCTCATGCTTAAAAAATTATAAATATGTGTGTTGTATACTTTGAAAAGTCTCCCCTTTAGTGCTATTCCTTAGTCGCTATTATCTCTCTACAGGCAACAACTGTTAATAGTTGTTCATTCAGAGATATCTCCACTCAGAGATATTTAATGTGTTCATATGTGGATATATTCTTTTCCCACTACTTCTATGTAGATGGTATAATATTAACTTTTTATATTAGAACATAAAGACCTATATAGACTTCTTGTAAAATATTTTTCTAGAAATGTATCCAATTTACTTAAGTTTTAAAATTTGCTTTATACAAAGTAGAGCAAAGTTGACTTTTGTTTTTGGGGTTATTTCCCCCTGATTTTTAATTCTTTCATTTTTTTTTTTTTTTTCTGGTCAAAGGTTTGTACTTTTTTTTTTTTAAATTATTTTATATAATAAATCTTTATTGTTCAGATTATTACAGGTGTTCCTCTCCCCCCCTCCACCAGATTCCCTACCCAACCCCATGCCCTTACCCCCGCACTGCCTTCATCCATAGGTGTAAGATTTTTGTCCAGTCTCTTCCCGCACCTGTCAGACCCTGTTCCCCCTGAAAAATTGTCAGTCCACTCCCTTTCTATGTCCCTGATTCTATTATGTTCACCAGTCCATTTGTTCTTCAGATTTTTTATTCACTTGATTTTTAGATTCACTTGTTGGTAGGTATGTATATGATGTCTTTTTGTTGTTCATAGTTTTTACCTTTACCTTTTTCTTCTGAGTGTGTCCCTTATGGATCTGAGGAGTTGTAATCTGGATTGTCCCACTCTGACCATTGGGTACAATGGCTCCCGGGTCTCTAAGGAGGTGCTAATTTAGCCTCTGCCTGAGGCCACCCAGCAGAAGCTACTGAGAATCTGCAGATTCCTCTTCTTTGTTTGGGCTTTGGAGGTGCCAAGATGAGGCCCAGCTGTGAAGCAGTTGCTATGAAGAGTTGCTATGGGGCCTTGGGTCTTCTTTTGGATGTTCTGGGTCTCTCTGACCCAGCTGCAGTTTGTTAGGTAATTTTAGATTGCAAAGGGCCAAGCCATTCATATGCAAAAGTCTCTGCGCAAAGCTTGACTTTTGGGGAAGAGTCTCAGGAAATTCACAGGATGGAGCAAACAGCAATGGCTGGTCCTCAGCCCTGACCTAAGAGGCCCTGAGTCTCAGTGTTCCTCGTTAATGCTGCAAGAACCTCTGAGAGAAAGCCGCCCTTGAGTTCCGCCTGATGCCAGACAGTCCAGTTTCTCCCCGTATGAGTCTGGGTCCCCAGAGTCTCGCCCAGAACTGGAGTTCAGAGCAGTCAGGAGCTTGTGTCTCCCTCCTGATTGAGAAAGACAATTGCGTGCTCATTTTCCAGCCCTTTCCATGTGTACACCCGCGTATCTCTGCACTTCACTTCTGCACCTCCTCTGAGTCTCAGTTGCTTTTCTCTTCTAGGTATAGAATTTCTACTAGGCCAGCCTTCCTGTGGTTCTGGATGATGTCTGTTTTGTTTTTCAGTTGTAGTTTTGAAATTGTTGTGCGAGGCAGCAATTTCAGATGTTTACCTGTGCCGCTGTCTTGGTTTCTCCTCCATTATTTCTTTTTGTTAATATAAGAATTACTAGGAATTTTCTTCTGAACACTGTGTTAGCTGTATTCCATAGGTTCTGTATTCTAGATTGTATCTGATTTTCATTGGTAATTGCATATAATGTCAATGTTGTGTTACTGGGTGAACTCTGATTAAGTGGCTTAGTCTTTTCTCATGAGACAGTTTAGTGTTTTCAGGCAGGGTTAGTACCTGAGTGCTTTGGAACTTTTACACCCAACACACCCGAGGAGTGCAGTCGCCTCAGAAATAAGTAGCCCTATCCGTAGTATGTTATCTTCAGCTCTCACTTTACCAGTCCTCTCTAGTTGTTAGTTGTTTCTATTCTTGATTTTAAACTACAGATTTCTGTGTTGGTGCATCAGTGGTATTTTCGCCTGTAATTTTTCAGCTAGGTTTTAAGATGTTCACTTATGCATTAGTTTAAATATTATACAAATATAATGGGGAAGAAATTGAAGAGATATAAAATTTGCTTGTAATTCAACAAATGTTTATTGACATAGTGATAAGCTAGTCCTATCACTGAATAAAACAAAGCCTCTGCCCAATGAAAACCTACATCAGAGAGCAGCACAGGTGAGAAAACTAATATATGGCACAGCAATTTTCAGCTGGTGTGCCACAAGAATGTTTAAAACGTGCAATAACTGACTGTTTAGTCTGGGGGACTGAATACTTTCCCCTTAGATTGTAAAAAGATAAAAAAGACAACAGCCAACACAGATAATAGCTGTCTGATGTGAATGAATGAAAGCTGTACCTATTTTTTTTCTGTCAAGTCAGCAAAAAATATATTTTTTCAACATAAGGATATCACGTATGGTATTAGATATGGAGCACTTGCACTTCATAAATTTCATGACACATGACATATTAAATCTATATCCACATACATTTGTTCTTCTTGGCCCCCTTTTGAAGAGTCTCCTGGATATAAGGAGCTGGCCCTATTCATCTTCTGTTTCCTCGGATAGGCAAGTTACTGGCACACAGTAAGTGGTAATCAATTTGAGGTTCAGGCTGTTGCTAAACTTATTTAAGTTCATATAAACCAGGCTTGATCATGTTTCCAAAATTAGAGCCCGATGAGTTAGTAAGATACTCATTGGGTGATAATTTATTGAAAATGAGCTCACTACTGTTTGTGTTTATGAAGGGGAAGTACAGAAGATTGTGGGCTGTGTTCTGGCTTTATCTTACTCCTAAGTCTTTAAATTTAACAATAAAAACAGAAATTACTTTCAATTGACAGATATTAAAATTAGAACATTCTTTCTAATGAACAAAACAAACTGACGGTCCACAATAGATCCAGAGACATTGAAACAATGCCACAGGCTGGCATATGTCAGAGGAAAAGGGGGTGGGTGGGAAGAGATTAACCAAAAAAATTATATGAATATTAGAGGCCCAGGGCACAAAATTCAGGTGGTCTGCGGAAATCAGGCCCTAGCTTGCGCCCCCAGCCTCACAGCCCTGCAGCCCTGCCTGGTACCCCGCCTTGGCCTGGCGCTGCCTGCTTGCCCCGCCCCCCGCCGCCATGCTGGTTGCCATCTGTGGGGTGATTGGCAGTGCGATTGAGCCCCTGCTTGCACCCACCTTGACCTGGCACCGTCCGCTCAACTGCTCCACCATCCCCCTGCAGTCCCACTGTGTCAGGGCCCATTGGGGCTGGCAGCGCCTCCACTGCCAGCACTGTGCCACTGGCGCCTGCCATGTTCCACGCCACCCCCGGTGGTCAGTGCACGTCATAGTAAGCGGTCAAACTCCAGGTCAATGACTGCCCAAGGGGACAATTTGCATATTAGGCTTTTATTATGTAGGATATGCCATAGACACAGATGATAGTGCTGGGAAGGCCTGACGCTGGGTGGAGGAGGTCAGTGGGGGAAAAAGGACACCTGTTATACTCTCAATAAAGACCAATTAAGCAAATAAAACTCTTATAAAACAACTTTTATAAACTCTTATAAAAGTTTTGTAATTTCCAGGGTTAAGCTTTATGTTTTCCCCCCTCAATTTTAAAGTGTTTTGGTAGTCTTTATAACATAGATCGGACTTGATGTGTCATTTATTTAACAATTGAGCATTGTAATGTAGCTGCCACTGAATTTAAAATGGATAGGGGTATTGGATCTGTGCTTGCAGTGTATAATATGAAAGTACACAGGTCTGATAAATATTTACTTGTAACTCTGGTTAAAATGCTCTTGACTTTGGTTGTTGTTATCAACTTCATAATAATAATGCAGCTTTTTGTTACATTTTTATCACTTACTGTCACAGTCTCTGAGGTAATTTTTCCTCCCACTTTTTATTTTTAAAATAGGGTAGGAAACTGAGGCTCAGAGAAGTGGCTTACTGTAAGTCACACAGGTCAGTGAGCGCAGAGCGAGTCTTGAAGCCAGGTTTTATGATTCCTGGTGGACACACGGTTCCCTGGAGCCTGCTTACAGACTCTGTTCACTCATTACTTACAGTGTGGATGTTTCAGAAGAAGCAGAAATAGTTTTTGTGCTTAATTTTTTCTATTAAATTGAACATAGACAATTGAAAATAATGAAACCTTAGTTATCTGCTTATTGTATTAGTAAATACTCAGTGATACATAGTGGTGCAATAAAGTAGACATAAATGCAAGTCCCATAACTTATCTGAAAATCTAATGTAATGTTTTCAATGAATGTTTTATTCACTTATTTGATTTTGAGTTCAGTATTAAAAGTAAAATAAAAAAATAAAAACAATGAACGTAGGTATAATTTTCTTTTCTTTCCCAGACAGATATTGATTATGTACACGGTGTTATAGCCATCCTGGAAAAAGAGTAAGTTCTTCTTAATTATGGAAGTGAAAATAATCATTACTATTATCTCTTTGCTTTTTGCTAAAAGATAATGCCTTCTTTTATATTTCATTTTTCTGGAGTTCAGTGTTCATTAGACCACCTATAATTTAGCATTGTCATATAGAAGGTGCACATCTAGTTATCTGATGGGATAAATTGGTATATTTAGAAAAGACTTGAATGTTATATGTATGTAACATTATCAAATAACAGTCTTTAATCTGTAGTACAGTGAACATGGAGTCATATGAGGTTACTTAAATTGTTCACCCTGTGTTTACCAAGCAAAAATTTTCTGCTGTTTTGGCAGACAGTGATTTAGCAGTTTCAAACCTCAGTGCTAAACTATGTCTAAATCGAATCTATTTTGCGAAGGTTGAGTAACAGTTTACTGTGAGCAAGGCACATCGCAGGTAACAACAGATGGAAAGCTTAATGAATTTCAGGCATCATTAATTTTTAAAGTACTGCTTTGGTGGTAGTCTTAATAGTAACATTAAGAAATCAGTCTTGATATGGTTTCTTCATTGAATTCTGTCTGTTTTTGCCCCCTAAACACTTATCTTCTACTTAAAAAGACAAAAGAGAAGCAACAATTATTTGCCAACTCTAGATTTAAAATAATGTGGCTTTATATTTGTCTATCAGTTCTAAAGCCAGAGACTTAAAAAAATATGTATAATTCTGGGTTAATCTCTGTATTTGTTAGATTTTTTCCCAAGTGCTCAATTTCTTGGTAGCCTTCATATAAGTACAACTTGGCAGCCTTCATATAAGTACTATCATATAGCATCCATTCCTTAATAGGACCACTCGTCCCCTTCAGAGGGGCCACGTGGGCACGTCTGTGGGGCACATGCAATGATCCCATTGATTCCTTCCTTCTTCGATGTGTAGGAAAGCCATGCCCAGAAAGAGATACAAATCAAGCACTAAGAACGTCTGTGCAGAGACAGGGAATTAGATAGCCATTTTGTGGAGACATGCAAAAATGAAAACGGAGAATACAAATGAGAAGGAAATTGCAATTGAGTAAGATTGGTTTAAAAAACTTGAGAACAGTTTCTCAACCTTGGCACTGTTTGCATCTTGGGCTGGATAATTCTTTGTTGTGAGGACTGTCCTCACATGCATTGGAGTATGTTCACGGTCTCCCGAATGTCTGTCTCTCTACTACATGTCAGTCCTGTCCATGATGATGACGACCAAATGTCTGCACATTGCTCTGTGTGCCTTCAGGGGCAGGAGTGCTCTCAGTGAGAAACACTAGTTTGGAATGACATATAGTGCATAACCTACGATAAACCTTCCTGAGAATTAAAGAACTTTGATTTTTGTACACACACACACACACACACACGCACGTGCACACGCACATGCACATGCACAGGGACCCATGCGCGCACGCATTCATTCATTACTTTGTGTTTTTTTTCAGTTTCCATTTTCTGTGACACCTTGATTTGATTTGTTAAAAGTTTATACTTTTTAAGAAAGTAATACCTGCATTTGGCCTAGGATTTCCATCCTGCTCTAAGAGTAGTGGCACTTCACACTTTTTAAAAGCATTATTTTTTAAAAATGTGTGCTATTAGAAAAAAATCTGTATTTTTCTGGAAAATTATCGATGAGCTACTTCACTGAACACAGTTATGTTCATTTCTGATGATAACACAGTAAGTTGAGCATCAAGATAAATAAAATCCCACAGAGCTTAAATAACTCACCTAACCTTTCTCATGATAGATTTTCTAAAGAAATCAGCTCTGGTTTAGTGGAAATAATATCACCTCCGGGAAGCTATTACCCTGACTTGACAAACTTAAAGACTACATTTGGAGACTCTAAAGACAGAGCAAGGTGAGCCCGGGTTTCTTAGGACACTCTCCCTGCGAATGTGATGTGTGATAAATGTAGTTCTCACTTATCAACGCTCCACATATTTTAGGATTTAGCCAATTAGTGAGAGCCAATGAATTTTGGAGTGTTTTATTGGAAATTCTATGGAGTTTCTAATGAGAGGTTGAATTTGGTAAACTTTATAATTTTTATTACTGCTGCTCTGATGTTAGTGAGTTTTCTTAAGAGCACATTATCTATAACTCAGAAGTTAGTTCAGTTAGAAATCTCAGATTCGTATGCAGCATAAACGAGAGCTGACTCAATAAAGAGGCAAAAACAATAATACCCTTCTGCAAAATTATATTATAATAATGTAATTAGTCTATTGGGTTTTTCTCTGGCTCTCTAAAACTGAAGGACTTAACTTTCATTGTGTTACTAAAAACAAAGTAAGAGATATTTGCATTAGTTTTGGACTTTCTGTAACTAGAGAAAAGGAAAATGGTATTTTGGGAAGAGATTTGTATATCTTGAATTATTCATTTGTCCCAAAGACAGATATGTCCTCATAATTGGTTAATTGTCTCTCAATAAATACAATTTTATTTTTCAAAAATTAGCGTTGAATTTAGTAAAAATTTCTAGATAGTCTTATTAGCTGTATCATGGAGAAGTTTGCTTAATATGATTCAAAGCTTTCATTTTACTGGTTGTGCGTTTTTTTAAAATCTGACTTTTAGGACCACTCTCTTATTTAAAATGAGCCAGTTTCTATAGACTGCCAGGATTCACTGAGAGAACTTAATGTTGTAAATTGTGATAGGATGTTTTGGGTGTTTTAAGCATTCAGTGCATATTTATTAATTGTTACCTGCTTGGAGCACAGTCCCAGGCACCAGAGCAGTGTTCCCCAGAGTGCAGCTGTCGAAGCACCAGTTCCCAGGGACATTTAGAGGTTACTGAAAAAAGGGCCAGTGGTCAAGGAAGTTTGGAAAATACTGGATTACAATTTTTTTCAACAGATGTATTTACTGCTGGATGTTTCAGTGCCTCTATATGCAGACTGATGTACCTCCCGCGGGGAAACATGTGTGCTTCCAAAGCTTTCATTTTTCCTGATGGCATCTTGGGAATTAGTCTTTCGGGGAATACATTTTGACAATGGCCTCATTAGAGAAAAGTGAATTCGCTTTCATTCTCTCCTCTCAGTGCATATATTATGCATGTATGTGTACCTAGATATCTGTATGTCTATATGGACATATATTGTGTATACATCATGTATATAAAATGTATCTGTAGTATATTACATATTATAGAATATTATGTCATATAATATATATCAAAATGTAATACATTTAATCCTATTTTGAGTGATTCTTAACTTATTTTTGAAAATTTTTATTACAGATGGAGAACGAAGCAAAACCTAGATTATTGTTTTCTAATGATGTATGCTCAGGATAAAGGCACTTATTACATTCAGGTAAGTGTGGTTATTTCTTTAATGTTTTTCACCTTTTTTAAAGAAAAAGTAATAACATCAAAGGTTTATTTTCGACCGCCTCCAAGATGGCTGCGCCCAGGTGAATACCTAGCTGCAGCCTCACACAACAATTTCAATAAAATACAACTAAGATATAAAATGGACATCACCCAGAACTACAGGAAAGTCGACTGACTGGAAATTCTACAACGAGAAGCAAGGAGAAAACCAGAAGGAAGCGCGGAGGAGCTGGAAAAGCCTGAGGTACAGAGACAGCGGCGCGCGGAGAGGACGGAGCCGGAGAGGAGGGAGGCGGAGTGCCTGGCGGGCGTTCCCTGGCGGGAAGGAGATAAAACTCCGACTGTGCTGGCCCCCATTCTGACTGCTCTGAACCCCAGGCCGAGGCCAGACCCCGGGGACCCAGGCTCACACAGAGGGAGCCGGGCTGCTAGGCGGAACCCGGGGAAGCTGCGAAAGGAGGTCCCGGCGGTGGCGCCCAGTGCGCGCAGAGAAGGGACGGCCGGCTGTGCCGCAGGATTGCCTGGCGGGAAGGGACAGGGGCTCCAGACTGCTCTGAACGCCACCTCCAACCCCACTTCCAACTGAACTGAACCCCAATACCGGGCTCATTGGGGGAGAGCATAGACTGTTTGGCAGCAGGCGAAAATTGAGGGCGCCTTTCTCTCAGAGGCGCTTGCAGCGAGCACTGAAGGACCCTGAGTCTCAGGAGTCACATAGGGCGGGGCTGACGGAAGCCAAAGCTGTAGGCTCCACCCTGAAACCCCGCCCCATCAGGAAAGCTGCCTGCGAAATGCCTAAACCAAATAGATCACAAACGAAAGAAATGGAGGACAGCCGAGACCGGTTTGGCTCAGTGGATAGAGCGTCGGCTTGGGGACTGAAGGGTCCCGGGTTCGATTCCGGTCAAGGGCATGTACCTTGGTTGCGGGCATATCCCCAGTAGGGGGTGTGCAAGAGGCAGCTGATTGATGACTCTCTCTCATCGATGTTTCTAACTTTCTATCTCTCTCCCTTCCTCTCTGTACAAAATCAATAAAATATATAAAAAAAAAGAAAAAAAAGAAATGGAGGACAAAAAGCTACTGGATATAGAGTTCAAATCTACGCTTATAAGGTTTTTCAAGAATTTCCTAGAAAAGATGGATAAGACCTATGAGGACATGAAAAGAAATCAACTAGAATTAATAAGGAGTCATCAAGAAATGATAAGGGAACAACAAGAAATAAAGAATACATTGTCTGAAATAAAAAATATTTTACAGAGTCCTAAAAACAGAAGGGAAGATCGCAAGAATCAAGTCAAAGATTTGGAACATAAAGAGCTAGAAGACACTCCTCCACAGAAGCTAGAAGGCAAGAGAATCCAGAAAATTGAAGATAATGTAAGAAACCTCTGGGACAACTTCAAGCGAACCAACATCAGAATTATGGGGGTCCCAGAAGATGAGAGAGAGCAAGATATCGAAAACATACTGAAAGAAATAGTGACAGAAAACTTCCCCCACCTGGGGAAAGAATTAGACTTACAAGTCCAGGAAGCACACAGAACTCCAAATAAAAGGAATCCAAAGAGGACCACACCAAGACAAATCATAATTAAAATTCCAAGAGCAAAAGACAAAGAGAGAATATTAAAAGAAGCAAGAGCAAAGAAGGTTGTTACCTATAAAGGATCACCTATACGATTGTCAGCTGACTTCTCAACAGAAACCATGCAGGCCAGACGGGAATGGCAAGAAATATTCAAGGTGATGAATAGTAAGAACCTACAGCCAAAGATAATCTATCCAGCAAAGCTATCATTCAGAATCGAAGGTCAGATAAAGAGCTTCACTAATAAAAAAAAGCTAAAGGAGTTCATCAACACCAAACCAGACTTATATGAGTTGCTGAAGGGAGGTCTTTCAGAAGAGAAAGTAAACAAAGATAAAAATTATGAACAACAAATATGTAACTATCAACAAGTGAATCTAAAAACCAAGGAAATTAAAAAAAAAATCTGATGAACAATAGTAACTGTTGAATATAATAGAATCAGAGGTATGGAAGGGGAGTGAACTGACGATTCTTGGGGAAAAGGGGAGAGGGGGGCGTGGGAAGAGACTGAACATAAACTGTGCACCTATGGATGAGGACAATGGGGAGTGGGGAAAGGGCAGAGGGTGGGGTGGGAACCTGGTGGAGGAGAGCAATGGTGGGGGGGGGGGGAGGAACATTTGTAATAATATGAACAATAAAAACTTATTTTTAAAAAATAAAAAATAAAAAAAATTTAAAAAAATATAAAAGGTTTATTTTCATTAAAATAGGGTGTGTTAAAAGCATAAGCCCTCTCAGATCTCTAAGGTCATAACACTGTATTGAGGGTAGAAGCATCTCTCATAGTCACTGAGAATGTGGGCTCTGAAGTGCCATTCTCTGGTTTTGCACAAACACTAGCTCTCCACTTAGTGGTATGACAACGGGCAGGTCACTCACCTCTTCTTTCGCTTTCCTCCCATCCCTCCATCTCCTCTCTCATCTCTCCCCTCCCCCCTTCTCTCACCTCCCTCTCCTTTCTCATTCTCCATCTCCTCTCTCATTCTCCCCCTCTTCTCTCATCCTACCTCTCCTTTCTCATCCTCCCCTTCCTCTCTCATCCTCCCCCTCCTCTCTCATTCTCCTCCTCTTCTCTCATCCTCTGTCCTTTCTCTCATCCTCCCTCTCCTCTCTCATCCTCCCTCTCCTCTCTCATCCTCCCCTTCCTCTCTCATCCTCCCCCTCCTCTCTCATTCTCCTCCTCTTCTCTCATCCTGTCTTTTCTCTCATCCTCCCCCTCCTCTCTCATTCTCTCCCTCTTCTCTCATCCTCTGTCCTTTCTCTCATCCTCCCCCTCCTCTCTCATCCTCCCTCTCCTTTCTCATCCTCCCTTTTCCACTGTTAAAAAGAACTAAGAATTAATTATATGAAAAATTTAAGGAAGGATTTCCATGTCATTTTTTTAGTGGTTCTATTAGTATAGTTGGAATTTTTTTGTATGCTACAGTGTATTTACATTTAGGTAATAAAACTGACATTTTAGTTTTATTAGCATGGCTAGAATAGTAAATCTATAGTGATATGGGTTTTAAGTTAGCCAGGTAGGTAACATCTTACTAATCTAAGAAGCTCTTATTTCTTTCAAATTTCATTTTCCTCAGTGACTTAAGCTTTAGTTTCCCAATTCATTTCTTTCACTAAAGGTCATTATTCCTTGTTTGAAATGCAAATACCCCTGAGCCACTAAGATTGTCAGGGTTTTTTGTATGAAAAGTTTATTAGGTCATGAAGTTTTGATGAAAGTGTTAAGGTATTTTGGTCCCTGAATCTAAAAGGAAATGGTGAGCAGCTCCTGGGAGTTGGGAGAGATGGGAAGGGACTTGGGGAGGAGAGGAAAGAATGAAAAGTTCTGGCATCACATCACATGGGTAGTTGGACTTAACTAAGGTCAGACTTTGTCTCCCTCGACATTATACCTTGGGCCAGCTGCATTTAAGTGGGCATGACCCTGGCTGGCTGTGCACTGGAGGGTCTGGGGCTCAACATTCCCAGTCAAGGGCATATACCTGATCGCAGGTTCAATTCTCCACCTCCAGTCGTGGGTGTGTGGGAAGCAACCAATCGATGTTTCTCTCTCTCTTCCCCTTCCTCCTCCATCCTTTTTCTCTAAAAATCAATGGAAAAAATGTCCTCATTCCTCAGGTGAGGATAAAAAAAATCCACAAGACAAATGGCCATGAATTCTTACTTGGTTCACAGAAAGGGAGATGTAAATAATGGTAGGGTCAGAACTTAACATCTATATATATATATATATATGTGTATATATATATATATATATATATATATACACACACACACACACACACACACACTGAATGGACAGATTATTATGATCTCTGAACGCATAATAATCTGGCCACTCTGTACTTGAGCACCTCATTTATTTGATATCAAAGATACTATAATCGTGCATCTGATCAGTTTTCCCTTTTGCATTGGCTGATAGAAAGCTCAGGGCAAATAGGTAGTTGACCTCCAGCAAAAGTCTAGAATACTTTTGGTACCCATTGGAGATACAAATATAATGAGTAGCCAGATTATTATGTGTTCAGAGATCATAGTAATCTGGCCACTCAGTGTATATAAACCTAAGTGACTGTTAATGACCAGACCGACCAGTTAACCAGTCGCTATGACATGCACTGACCACCAGAGGGCAGATGCTCAATGCAAGAGTTTCCCCCTGGTGGTCAGTGTGCTCCCATACCCAACCTCCTGTGGTCCCTCCCCCTGTAGGCCTGCCCTCCCCCCATAAACCCCAATTGGGGGGCCCAGCCAGCCAACCCCCCCGGGGTCCCTCCCCCTGATAGGCCTCATTCGCCAGCCAGGCTGGGGGACCCCATCCATGCACAAATTTGTGTGCCGGGACTCTAGTTGTATATAACAGTATACAACATTTGAGCATATAAAAGCCAATATCCTAAATTTGGAGAGTACATTTCCTTGAAATACCTTAGAGAAATCTTATAATTTCAAAATGTTTTGTTTTAACATATCCCAAATATTACTATAGTTAAACCTTGCTATTTATTCTAGGGCCACTATATAAACACATTATGGTCAAGAAATTTTAGAGAGAACTTAAAAGTTTAGTTACTGTTTTGTTTTGTTTTTTAATTTGCTTTCCAAGGAGAGAATTAATGCAACCTTAAAAGATTTTTCGTGAAGTATAGGAAAAGTAAATGGTTAGGAAATTAAGGAAAAGTTGGAGTTTGGAAAGAGGATAATAAGGAACACTCCCCTAAACAGAGTCAGTATGTAACAGCAGAGGTCAATATTTAGTAACAGTAGCAACTGTGAATTAGCATCTATTGCTTGCTTACCATATGTCAGGCATTGCTCTTTACAATTTACTATGCTTTGCACACATAAATTCATTTAACACAACCCTTTTTCGTAAGAGCAGAATCATACTATGTATTGTTTTATAGCCTATTTGCTGTTACTTTCCATATCATAGGTGCCATATGCCACTGATGTATTCCCAGGGTGTATACAGTGTCTGGGACATAATAAAAGCTCAATAAGTATTTGAGCTTTTATTGTGTCAGTATCATATCTTTCCAAATACTACTAATTGTTATGTAGAGGGAGAAGAAATCTTAGAGGATTTAAAGACATGAAAACTTTAAATCCTAAAGTAAATGAAAATTACTTATTTTTAGATAACTAGAAATGATAATGTGAAATTAAGAAAAGGAAAAGTTTTCTTAGGATATTAAAATTATCTTGTGACTTTAAAGTTCTATGAAAGAAGATTCTGAGGGGGGAGTCTGCATCTTCCATGACGGCTGATCTCTGCCAACTCCCTATGAGCTGGCAGCAGTCCCGAGCATAGTTAGTGCTGGTGTTGGCAGAGCACCTGGGGTTAGCTGGCACCGTGTGAGCTGCTGCAACTTCTTAAGGATTTTGAAGATATCTTTCAAAATGTAAAAAAGGAACTTTCAGGAATCTACAGAAATGAAAAGTATGTAAGTAGAAGCATATCAGTACAGGGTTGTTGGCACAGACAGTGAGAAACAAGCTGTATGTCTGCCTGTGAGCCAGACAAGTTGAATGAATTGTTGTACAACTATAGCATGGACTATTACACGTTTATTAAAAAGGATAATTTAAGTATGTACTTATTAACCTGAGAGTTATTCATGGTATATGAAGAAAAAAACGTATGGCCCCCTTTTTAAATAAAATCCTAGAGTTGGGTGGGAGCCTGGAGGAAGTGTGGATGGGTCTTTATGTCCACACAGAAGGAGCTGAATTGATGCACAACCAACTTTTAACACTTGGTCACCACAGCTAGCAGGGTGGAGGGCAGAGAAGGGGAACTAGGAGATTTTTCTTTGACTCTCTCTTTGACTTAGTATGTATGTTATGTAAAATGGAAAAATAAATTAAAGGTCTACAAAATTATTTTTCTTTGAGAAGATGAAAGGCAGTGTGAACTCAGATTGGGCAGTATAAAACGACCGAAAAGGAGTCATCCATGGAGTGGTAGTGTTATTTCGCAGAGTATGGGAATGGTTTAGTTGACTTGCTATGTGCATCTTCCTTTTTATTTTCCTTGTTTTCTTTTAATAAAATTTAGTTTTGTAATTTCATCATTTTTACCATTGTTTACTTGACTTCCATGATAAAATATGTTTGGTTATTTTTCGTAATAAAAGAAGATCTATCTAAATCTTTCCTCTCTTTAGCTTGAAGATGATATTATTGCCAAACCGAATTACTTTAACACTATCAAAAATTTTGCCCTTCAACTTTCTTCTGAGGAATGGATGATACTAGAGTTCTCCCAACTGGGCTTCATTGGTAAGAAAAGTGTTGGATTTATCTGCTTTTCAGAAACCCAAAATAGGATTTGGAGATTTCTAAGGTTGTGGTATTTACTCTAGAGTTCTACAAGGAAGCCTCCACATGTCCACATGCAAAGCCAGCCACAGCCCTGGCGAGCATGCTGAGCTCTCTGACCCTCTTCTACAGACACTGCTTTTGCAAGATTGGCTTTTAAAACTGTCAAGTTACAGTTTTCTAATATGAATTCCTAGTATTTGATGTAGTACATGAAGTTCCTGTCCAGTGATTAATTTGTTTTTATTTGTTTATTTTTTTACTAGTCAGGATGCTCATTTAAAGTTTTTCTCTAACATTGCTAAGTTATCCATCTAAAGAGAATATGTTGAAAATCAAAGAATTGAAGGAAATTTACAGGTTTAAAAAAACACCCAGAGGATAACATTTCACTTCCTATAGTACTTTAAAACTTTAAATATTGGAGGCTGAGCCTCTGATCTTGCTGATCACTTATCTCAACCTTAATTTGAGTAAAAAAAAAAAAAAAAAAAAATCTTGTGAAAGTTTAAGTGAAGACAGAAGAACTACCGTGTTTCCCCGAAAATAAGACATCCTCCGAAAATAAGACCTAGCGCATGGAAAGATAAGACATCCCCTGAAAATAAGACCTAGCGCAACTTTGGGAGAAAAAATTAATATACTAAGACACTGTCTTATTTTTGGGGAAACAGGGTAGGTGTCCTTGTTTTTTGCATTTATTTTAAAAATTTGTTTTTACCTAACCCTCTTAAATTCCTTTTTTTTTTTTTTAATGGGAAGAATCTTATTAAGACATGAAGGAAAAAAATCTCTGACTTGCTTCTTGAATCCTTTGAGCCCGTAGTTGTATGATAGATTTTGTAATAAAGAAAATCAGGAATTCACTACTTCCTTTGATATCCAGATGGTCGCTCCATGTTGACCCCCACAAGGTTGTTGTTGTGTCAGACAAGTGGGGACGCTATTCATAGGGACTCGTGGCTGGAAGAGCACCAGGGTTCAGTTTACTTGTCGTATAGGCTGCCCTGACGTAGCCGTAAGGATGCTTGGCTTCTTTATTACAGCTGTTGGCTGGAATATCTTTTCAGGTAAAATGTTTCAAGCGCCAGACCTCACTCTGATTGTGGAGTTCATCTTCATGTTCTATAAGGAGAAGCCCATTGATTGGCTCTTGGACCACATTCTCTGGGTGAAAGTCTGCAACCCTGAAAAAGATGCGGTAAGTTAATTTCTTAGGAGGCGGAAGAAGCTTTTCTATATTTCATGAAAGTGACTTTTAGGGGGCTAGATTTTATGAGTGAACATTTAAATAGGTGTTTCCACTTAACATTTTGAGTGCTTGCCTGCTTTCTTGAACTGACAAAAGTTTTAGTAGTAGAGTGACTTTTAAATAGCAGCGGGAAAATCCAATGAATAATTAAAGCCCACCTTTTAGTTCTGATCAGCGTCTCTCGTGTCTTTAGTCTCTTTCTCATTGCTTTCGGCTGCAGCCATGAGTCATAGCTGTCCTCTGTGGGCTATTTCAATTTCCTTCAGATTCTCTGTCAGCTTTCCCTTTTCAGATATTTTGGGGACAATATCAGACCCCTACACACCAGAAATAAGGAATAACATAGAAGTCATATTTTATACCAAAACAATGGCAAGTCACAAAAGCACCTTTCAGTTTATTACTTGGAAGAAACCAGTATTCACACTGACATGCTGACCTTTTTTGGGGGGATAAGTGAACGTTGTTGTTAGCTTTGATTATTCAAACATCAAGTTACTTTCTTAGAAATCTTATTGCAAAAATTAATTTGATGTTTTTCCTGTCCAATTTGAATTGTACCTCTGAAAAAGCAAATTTTTATTTATTTGGTGTAAGCATAAATAAAATATGGGTGTACATATTCTGAAAAATGTATAAATAAATTGTGACATATAATAACAGGGACTATTTATTAAAAGCATATGTTATATGGCTGACTTAATATTCATTCTAACAAATAAACATTAAATTTAATTTGATTTTATGACCTTATATTCCCTAGAATAGTTTTATCATGCTGCCTTCCAATTCACTTTTAGGACATTATTTTCTGTAGCTATCACTGCATTCATTCCATGATGTAAGGCCTTCCCTGTGTCTTCTTTGTGAATTACAGGAATTTTTATTATAGGATAAAAAAGTTAACATCATCTTTACACTCCTAAAATATGCTTGCATTTTTTTTGTCCTGTGCAGTTTAATCTAATGTATGGCTAGGTTCTAAAATGAGCCTTTGAGGTTAAAATTTCTGGTAGTAAAAATTGAAACTACAAAAACCTTTAAATCACCGGTGCATTTAAGTCCACAGCCCGATGTCCAGTTGCATTTATTCTTCCACTCCTTGGCCACATTTCTCTGAGGTCCGTACCTCTTCAGCTGCTTCCACTGGATGTCAGAGACCCTGCCGCACAGACTTGCGGGTATCTGGAATGGCCTCTTTGGTGTGGTCTGGGAAGCCTTTAGAGCAACTTCACATTCTCCCACAGGCTCACTGACCGCTCTGGCTTTTCTGGCCCACGTGTCCCCTGCCTCAGCGTCAGGCCTTTTGTTCTTCCTCTTCCCTCTCTCTCTCCTTCCACTTGAATAGTTGAATTTGTGTGAATAAAATGTACTCCTTTACTTCTGTTCTAGTATTAGTAATAATGTTCACCTCTTGTTTAAATTCAGTAAGCCAATCAATGTGGAAAGGCTGGTGATTTTTGAAATATATTTGGTGTTAGCCAAAGCCGGTTTGGCTCAGTGGTAGAGCGTCGGTCTGCGGACTGAAAGGTCCCAGGTTCGATTCTGGGCAAGGGCATGTACATTGGTTGCGGGCACATCCCCGGTAGGGGGTGTGCAAGAGGCAGCTGGTCGATGTTTCTCTCTCATCGATGTTTCTAGCTCTCTATCTCTCTCCCTTCCTCTCTGTAAAAAATCAATAAAATATATTTTAAAAAAATGAAATATATTTGGTGTTACAATTCACACCTCTTACTCATAATGCAATTTATAATGGATTTTTTTGTGTGTGTGTGTGTATAACATATGTGAGGAACAGTGGTTTCCCCCCAAATCAGGCCTTTTAATACCCAGCAAATTATGGGAGGTCTTTCAAAGTGTAAATGTTTTATTTAAAAAAAAAAAAAAAATATATATATATATATATATATATATATATATATATATATATATATATTTGTGTTTGTTTGTTTTTAAAGAGAGGAAGGGGGATAGCGAGTTTGAAACATTGATGAGAGAGAAACATAGATCAGCTGACTCCTGCACACCTACTACTGGGGATGTGCCCACAACCAAGGCACATGCCCTTGACCGGAATCGAACCTGGGACCTTTCAGTCCGCAGGCTGACAGTCTATCCACTGAGCCAAACCGGTTAGGGCATGGAAATATTTTATAAATGTCGTTTTTAATACGTTCTTGACCTAAAATTTATTTTAAAAAGTCATTGAAAATGAAGAGTTAATGAAAGCATGACCAGGTAGCCGTGGCTCCAAACGAACAGCCATTGAGAGCCCTGCTGGCCTTGAGTGTCTCATGCTCTGGTCAGTCTGATGTCAGGTTGCATCTGAAGTCTAAGCTCCGAGGCACTTTGAGTTGAAGCAGATTCCTTAACTGTGCTGAGATGCCAGTGTCACTTTTCATACCGTTTACTTGCTTATCGCCAAGTTATTGCCTTACATTTCACATTGCTTTCATGCAACCAAATGTCCCTTTAATTAGTTGCAAAAACTTAATTATGTTACCTTTTACATATTTTGTCTATATGACCCAAATCTCTAGTTTATAATTTGTGCATTTTAATATTTTTGCTTTTTAGAAATGTATTTTATTAATAATCCGTATTTGTCATTTATTATATCTTTTTTTAAATCTTTATTGTTGAGATTATTGGTATGCTTGTCCCAGAGGCTCCTTGCACTGTCTTCACATTTTTAGATTCTTTTTTAAAAAATATATATATTTTATTGATTTTTTACAGAGAGGAAGGGAGAGGGATAAAGAGTTAGAAACATCGATGATCGAGAAACATTTATTACCTGCCTCCTGCACACCTCCTACTGGGGATGTGCGTACAACCAAGGTACTTGCCCTGGATCGGAATCAAACCTGGAACCCTTAAGTCCACAGGCCAACGCTCTATCCACTGAGCCAAACTGGTTAGGTCTGGATTCTTTTTTCTTTTTGTTTTTCTGGTTGGGTTTTTTTTTTTTTTTTTTTTTTTTTTTTTTTTTTTTTTTTTTTGCTTCCTTGTATTTCAAATCATTGACTTGATTCTTGGGATCCTCTAGTCTACTGTTGAATTCCAGTATATTATTCTTTAGTTCAGTCAGTATATGCTTAATTTCTGACTGGTCCTTTTCCATTTTTTTGCAGAAGGTAGCAAGTACAGGTATTTATTTATGCTGCCATCTAAGTTCTTCTCTCACTGCATTTTAATACTAAAAGTCAAGTCTATATTGACATAGTGTGAGAAATGATTGAAATTAAATCCTTAACTCTTCCCTGAGATGTGCTTATTTTAAATTTCTGCATCTTGTCTGTTTATCAAATAGAGAGTGATTCTACTAATGCCTCAATAAGGAACCTAAAAAATGTGATTTAAAATGTGAGATGAAATTTATTTTCAATATTTACTAAAGCACTCCTCAGTTTTCAGATGACAAGATTTCACTTTATAATGTAACACTAACGTGATTTTTTCCCCCTAATATTTAGAAACATTGTGATAGACAGAAAGCAAATCTACGAATTCGTTTCAGACCTTCCCTCTTTCAGCATGTTGGTCTGCATTCTTCGCTAACAGGAAAACTTCAGAAACTTACGGTTGGTGATTTCATTTGATTTTCTCATGAGGGTTCGATTTGTTGTTCAGTGCATTATCGTTGTTCTTCCTCCTAAGGATTAGCTATGGGTTGTTTTAATTGCATATATGTTCCTCCTCCTAGGATAAAGATTACATGAAACCATTACTTCTTAAAATCCATGTAAACCCACCTGCCGAAGTCTCCACTTCTCTGAAGGTCTACCAAGGACACACGCTGGAGAAGACATACATGGGCGAGGATTTCTTCTGGGCCATAACGCCGACAGCAGGAGACTACATCTTGTTTAAGTTTGACAAGCCCGTCAATGTGGAAAGGTTGGTGATGACTGAGACGTGTTTGGTCTCACAGTTGAAACATCTTCTACAAGGTGATCTGAGATGGGAGTGTTTTGTGTAGAACAGATGTGAGGAGACAGCGAGTCCCCGATGTTGGGTTATAGAATACATTTCCCACAAGTTGGTAATAACATGGGTTTGTTGTTTTCAGATATAATAGCAGCATTTAGCATATTTGATAAATTCTGTCGGTATTTCTGAAAGTGCATTTAGTATAGTTTTTTTCATACTTTCATGTAGCACTGTGCTGCAAAATCTCTGATTTGTTTTCACATTCTTATCGTGGAATATCTCCTAAGATTTGAGTTGGTTATGCAGCCAATTGGTTGAAATGACAAGTTTAACAAACTATGCCTATTTCTAATCAATGGCTTTACAAATTCTGGATTCCTTTAATATAGCACGGAAGAATTCACAACCCTTTTGTGTGTTCCAACACTCTGTCCGCTGTACAAAGTTTAGGGCTCTTTCTCCTGTTTCTTACTTAGCAGTCATGAGGCCTTCAGTCTTCGCTGTTTTGGTTGTGTTGGCCAGGTTGTAGCTTTATTTACATGTGACCCTCGGAAGAGAATAATTCTCTAGTCTCTGGTTTGTTATGTTAGGCATTCTCATGAGAGGCCCACTTGGTTTTTAGAATATGCCAAAAGTCATTTGGAATAATTCTGTTTAAGGAGGACAAAAACAGTGCATAGCTATATGTAATGTCTTACATTTTCTTTTCTTGCTCTAAACTGATTCTAAAGAGGAACTTAAGTGTGAAAATGTTTTAAACAAGGGAAATATCACTGGGAAAATATAAAAAATATTTTAAAATTATATTTTGCACTTACATGAATATGTAATATTTGTTGTTACTTAATGCTCATTTCTATATAGTGGCAATCTGCACTATCGTTTGCCACATTTAAAGAGTCATCACAGAATTAGAAACAATAATTTTCTTTCACCTTCTTGATAAATAAGAATAACTTTAAGCCATGTCTATTGGTTTATTTTTAGCAAATAAAAATAATTCCATTGAAGAGCTGCCTGAAAACTCATATTGGAGATCAAATTTTTTAACAACGAAAACGTTTGCAGTTAACCTCGGAGAAGTAGTATTTACATGCTCCTGTTGAGGAACTTTTCTAGTAGAAACTCATGTATGAATTTTCTGTCTTAGGACAGAAAAAAAAAAAAGCAAAGACTCTTTAATTTTCACAATAATCTATGATACCTGGGAAAAAGTAGAAGTAGTGTTATCAATGCAGACCTGAAGTATTAGGAAAATGTTTTCTAGCTGTATAGCATGGTATATGTTCATTGTACAAAACTTTAAATGTATGAAGAATAAGGGAAAAATCAAAACCCAAGGACACCATGTGACCATATTGGCACCTTTTTGTTTCTTGATAATTCTGTATACTTTATACTTTGAGGTCATGTTGTATATGTAATTTTTATACCTATATTTTCAATTATACTCTCATATATGATTCAGAGACATTTTAATGGCTGCATAATACTCCATTGCATGGCTCAATCATCACTTATTCTGATGTTAAACTCTTTTTAGGTGGTATTGAGTTTTTCACTCAATAATTGCATAGCGAATGCCTCTGAATCAGTCTACCTAAACTCCAGATTATATCCATGGGCTCTATTTTTTTTTAGATTTTTTAAAAAAAATTGGTTTTCAGAAGGAGAGGAAGATGGAGAGAGAGAGAGAGAAACATTGATGTGAGAGCTGAACATCAATCGGCTGCCTTCTGTATGCCAGAGCCCACAACCTGGGCATGTGCTCTCACTGGGAATAGAACTGGCAACCCTTCCGTGAATAGGACATCGTCCAACCAACTGAGCCACATCAACTGCTGCCGGGCTCTTTTTTTTATAGTGGCTTCCCACCCATATTTTTGCATCTATAGCTGAGATATTGAGTGACCCATTATTATATGAAACAATATCCCACAGCAAAGATGTCTTAAAAAAAGTATCTCAGCAAAAATGCTGGAAGTAATTTTTGGTGTAGCTTAGAAGAAGCTTCTTATTTGGGTTTCCTAACCCATGTAACATTTGAAAATCAATGCCTTATCATACGTGATCTCTGCCCACAAACATTATACTTAACTGTTAGAACCATGTTATAACTATTATTTGCTGAATATTCTTAATATGTAAAATACTTCTTGTCAGTTCTCGCAAACTTCTTGGTATAGTCATGTGTGGTGGGAACTTCTGCTTTGCATGTTCCCGTCAAGAGCACCGATCTCGGTTGCAGGCTTGATCCCCCGCTCTGGTTGGGGTGCATGCAGAAGGCAACCAATCAATTTCTCTCTCTCTCACATCGATGTGTCTGTCTCTGTCTGTCTCTCTCTCTCTCTCTCCCCCCTCTCCCTCCCCCTCCTTCCGTCCACTCTCTCAAAAAAATCAGTGGGGAAAGAAATATCCTTGGGAGAGGATTAACAGGAACAAAACCAAAAAACAAAACAAAACAAAAAACAACTAAGATGCAGAAAGCTAAAGCAACCTGCTAAAGTGAAAATTCTAGTAAATGAGACACCAGGACTTGGATACAGTTTTTTTTTTTTTTTTTTTTTTTTTTTTTTTTTTTTTTTTTTACTGTTAAGCTGGAAATTTTAACCACTTAACTTAAACTTAAGTTTTAGGTTTAGATTTAGATACGCTTTGTATGTCCTATGTGGTTTCCACCCTCCTCCACATACCCCACACACTAGTTTCTAGAGTATATTCAGACCCAGAGAGTGTTTGACTTATCATATATTATGTAATTATTCATTATTCAAATATTCGTTAACACTGACAAATGGAATTCAGTTATTTAGAATCGGTTACTTTAGTTTTACTCTACTAATACTGAAATAGTTTGTATTAGATAAAACTGGTCTTTGAGTCCTGGCTGGGTTCCTCAGTGGTTAGAGTGACATCTCAAGGTTGCAGGTTCCATTCCCAGTAAGGGCACATACAAGAATCAACCAATGAATGCATAAATAAGTGGAACAACAAATTGATGTCTCTCATCACCCCACCCCCTACCCCCCAAAAAAAAGATAATAAAAAAACAACCCCAGGAAACGAGTCTTTGAACTTGCCACAACTCGTGGCTGTCCCAGTGGAAATTTCCTGACAAAGACACAGTATTGTGATGCAACTTCGATGGTTCTGTCCACAGGTTTACATATCTAAAGCAGTATAAACAGCTATATAAAACTGTCATCACTTTTAATCTGTGAAGTACGTAAAGCAGCAAACCTGTGCCTATGACAGAGGAATTAACATACACCTAAGGCAGCAGTCCAGTTTCTGAGTTCCCTACAACTACTCAGAACATGACGGCAGCGACCACAGTCCTGACGCTCTGGCTCGCGCAGAAAGCTGCCCGAGGGAAGCCCCTTCCTGAGGCTCTGAAGTCTGCCTGACCTGCACTTTTGCCTCATTCTTGTATTTCCAGTTACTTGTTCCATAGCGGTAACCAGGAACATCCAGGAGACATTCTGCTGAACACTTCTGTGGAAGTTTTGCCTTTTAAGGTAGGTAGGACTACTTTGCCGCTTAATTTTCCTTAAGAGCCAACACCAATAGACTTTGTTCGAGGCTGTTCTGGTTTTTGAGATTAAAGTTAGTTCCCATTATTGCAGAACCTCAATGGTGAGTAATATTAATTTAAAAAAATATATAGAACACCTCGTGCCTTATTTATAGAATGAGCCTTATTTTGTTTCCCATTGGAAAGTACTGGGAAGTCTGTACAGGAAAATAAACAAATCATTCTTTTACTTAAATATCGACCTGTTTATATCGAGTCCCCAAATACCACGTGGTTTTAATGCTTGTTGATTACTATAGAAAGTTAATGTACTGGTCTTAAATTTCTCTAATGCTTAAATTTCTTCCAGGTTAACACACAGTTCTTGTGCATATTTTTAATAGAAAATAGTGTTCTATTAAATTGATTTGGAATTTAAAATTATTTGAAATTTAAGTTTCCTAATCATTGGTATATTATATACAGATTCAAGAAGATGGTTAGAAAAAGAACTCTCATATTGATGAACTTTAAAGGTTCAAGATTGAAATGGCACTTTCTATTTTTAGAGATAGCTGTGCCATAAATGCTGCTGTTACACTTACTATGATATAGTAATAATTTAGCTTTGTTTTAAATAGAAGAAATTATTAATAAAATAATGTCTCTGTTCTCTTTTAGAGTGAAGGTTTGGAAATAAGCAAAGAAACCAAAGACAAACAATTAGAAGATGGCTATTTCAGAATAGGTAATACCTACTTTAAACTTGCAAAAAATTGTCCTTTATTTTGAACTTATTCCTAAAGTAAGTTTTTAAAAATCCTCACCTGAGTATCTGTTTATTGATTTTTTTTTTTTTAGAGAGAGGGAGGGAGAGAAACATCGGTGTGAGAGAGAGATAATGATCGATTGCCTACTGTACATGACTTGACTGGGGATTGAACCCACAACGTAGGTAGGTGCCCTGACTAGGAATTGAACCTGCAACCCTGTGAGGTACAGGACAATGCTCCAGCTCACTGAGCCGCCCTGTCAGAGCGCCTAACGTAATTGTAAACGCTTCCCAATGTCTAACAGCTTTAGGATTTCAGTTACCAGTCCACCCCAAGTTTTATTTGTTCTTGAGTTTTAGTATCCTGACCCAATTAGGATTTGAGATCACAGGTTCAGTTGCTGGTCCCTGCACCTGCCGTGTCCGTTGGCCGTCACTGGCAGGCGGCGGCCGGCTGCCTGTCTCTCTGGTCGCGGAGCACCAGGTGCCGGCGCTGCGCCTTTCGCCCTGGCCGGGTCTCGGGCTTCAGATCTGTGCTGATTCCCAGGGACACGGCCTGCCCTGAGCATCTGTGACGCGGGCTTGTGCGGTCCCCGGTCCCGCGGTGCTGAGCCTGACCCGGGAGACACCCTGAGCGCCGCCCTCCTGCCCGTCCGTGGGAGTGTCCGCCCGGACGGCTCGGTTCTGGGCCCTGCGGGAGCGGTCCCTCTGGCTCCTCACAGAGCCACGAGCAGCGCTTTAAACACCGACGTTGTGATCGTTTAGCCTGGTGACACGAGGACTCCCGGGGCAGATGGCTCTGTGCCTGCCTCTCCAAGCTCGTTCCTCTCCTCTTCCTCTTCTGCCTCCAGTCCCGAGACTTCCTCCTCTCCTGGCCCGGCTCTTCTGTGCGGCCCTGTCTCTGGCTTCTTGTCCTTGTTATTGGCCTTATTACTGATCTCCCCCGCTCCCCCCCTCCACCCCGCCCGCTCCCCCCTCCACCCGGCCCGCTCCCCCCCTCCACCCCGCCCGCTCCCCCCCCCTCCACCCCGCCCGCTCCCCCCCTCCACCCCGCCTACTCCCCCCCTCCACCCGGCCCGCTCCCCCCCTCCACCCCGCCCGCTCCCCCCTCTACCCCGCCCGCTCCCCTCTCTGGCTGCACACGCTGCTGTCTGCCCACTGGCTGTGGCTCTGGCTCCTCCGGAAATGGTCAGCTGGTATTTCTCCTTCAAGTGAGTGCTTCCTCGTCGTTATTAACCAGTTCAGTTGCCTCTTCTCACACACGTGCAGCGTGCTGTGTAAGCCAGGTCTGTGCTCCCCGTGGGAAGGGAGGGCCTGCCACCTGATGGCCCCGCTCGGAGGATGGCTGTTCTGTCCTCTCACTTAGTGAGCGCTTTTCTCAGTGCTGGGCAGAGTGCTGGCCCCTTGCTGCTGGGCACACGGACAGGGACACAGGCTCGCGGGCGGTGAGGGCGGCGAGGGCGGCGGAGCTCAGGGCCCCCCAGGGCGGGCTCCGGCACCAGAGAAGGCGGCGGCAGGAGGGCCCCTGCCTCCAGAGCAGCTTTACGGCCGGTGACTGTCGCTCGGGTTTTGCCCAAGGCTTGGGAGCTATGACTGATTTCTGTGCTGTGTGGGTGCACAGGCGAGTTTATTTTCATATTGGGGTTGTACCTTAGCACACCTCTAGAAAAACACATAACATTACAGAGTATACAAGATATTTGTTAACCCTCTTACTGCCAGCTGTTTAATCTCAAGAATGTTGTGATCTGGATTCGGAAAGTAGCAGGGGAAATGGATACATATATATTAAGTGTCTCTGCAGTAATTTGAAAATAAAGCCATCTCAGTCGTCAACTCATCCATATTTAGCCCCGGAGAGAACTTAGGAATCATCAGACCGAAGGCGGCGTCAGAGAGCACGCCCCCAGCACAGCCCGGCGCCTTCGGCTGAGCCCGAGGCTTCTCCTTAGGAATCTGCTTCGGTGGGCGCCCTCGCTCCCCCCTGTAGGACCCCACCCCTGGGAACATTACTAACAACGCAGCAGCGGGGGAGATTCCCTCGTGAGAACCTGAATCCCAGTGAGAACGTTAGGAGTCCTCCCGCTCCCTTAGCACCACTGCCCGTCTGAGCGCAGCTCTGCTCCCCGCCCCCGCCCCCCTGGGGTGGCATCTCTGTCCTTGGCCAGCCCTCACAGGGCAGAGCTCTTCCCGGGCGCAGCAGGCGAGACTTGCCCCCATTGCTCCCTCCGCGCCCAGCTCACTTGCCCCAGCGCCCAGAGTGAGCCGGGAAAAGGAAGGCACTGCTCCACGCGCCTGTGCCCCCAGAGCGGCTGCCGGCCCCCACAGGCCTGGGCCGGGGCCCTCTCTCCAGGGGGCGGCCAGGCGGCTCTGAAGCTGGCTCTCCCAGGGGCACTGGCTTGCTGGAAGCAGAGCCTGGGGAAGCTCAGTGTGCTGGGGTCGGGTGGGAAGCAGTCAAGAGGAGATGGCAGCTGCCTTCTGGCTCAGAGGTAGCCTGTCCGGCAGCCTGACAGCCAGGGAAGGAGCTGGCCATAAGAGCCTTTGGGTGGACGAAGCCACAACGACTGGCCCACGGGGTCGCGTGTTATTGGACCAGACTGTGCAGCTTATGCCTGAAGGCGTGTCGGAAACAGAACTGGAGGTGCCGGTGGCGGGACAGCTCGGGAAGAAGTGCGCGATGGTTAGTAAGGGCGGGAGGCAGAGCCTTTCCCGGAAGCAGGGGGAGGAACGGGCCACGGCCACTGCCAGGTGGCAGCAGGAGGTCCGTAAAGGACCTGGCCTTGGAAGTCCCTCACAGTGCCAGGTTTTAGGATTCCGGTCACGCTTCAGTAATTTCCTCTTTCTTTCTGTCTTTTTACACTTACCTACTGGACCGTTGGGTTAAAATAATACATGCACATGGTACCAATTACAAATTTAAAAGGTAAACTTAAGTCTCATTCCCTCTTCTGTCCCCACCTACCCAGTGTTTCCCAGAGGCAGTTCCTGTAATGGTTTGTCCTGTCCATAAGTTAAAATATGTGAGCATGTTCTTGAAAAACGGTCAACCTTATACTGCATCTGTTTTTTCATTGGACAGAAGATATGTGCATATAGAAGATGAACATTTTTTTTTAATTTCAGATGTACAAAATATTTCAGATGTACAAAAAGATGCAAATATAGTATCATGAATATCTGTGTATCCAGCCTAAGATTTTCCCAATTCGGTTGTTCTTTCCTCATACCTTCCTTCCCCCTGTACCCAAGGGCAGCTGCCTTACTACATTTTGTGGCTGCTATTTCCATGTGCACTTTACTGCCTGTGTATAATATATCCCCAAACCGTGCACAGTGCTTCTAGTGTATTTAAATTGGACAGTTACATCATTCTGTAGGCCATAACTGTTCCCTCACACAGGTGAGTTACCCATGTGGATGTCTGTATCTGTGCCTCATTCATTTGCACTGCTGTATAGTCTCCTGTTTAGCATAGTTTGTTTCCATCTTTTTGTCATAAACAATGCTGATTTGAACACTTAGGCACATGTATGAGAGTTTCTCTACGATATATACGCAGGGATGGCAATAAGTCTTCAACTGCTTTATCTTCATCATTTTTTTTTAAATTGGCTGCCTATTAGCATAATTTATTTAGCCAGTCTAGTGTTGATTATCTAGATTGTTTGCAATTTTTGCGCATGTGAGAACGTATCTCCAGAGTAAAATTGCTGAGCAAAAGAGTTTTAATGAGGCCAGTTATATCATTTTGTAATTATTTTTCTACTTAAATGAGTGTATTGGGTGACAGTATCAGATTAGTAAAAATGTTTTAAGTTTCACAGTATTTTTCAGCTCTGAATTCTGCCTAACTTACTAGTCAGTAATACTTTCTTATACTCCCTATCCCAGTCCAGCCCCAAATATAGACATACTTTTATTAAATAAATGTGTTAGTTTTTGATAAAACCATTAATCTGGAAGTATGTAAGTTAGTATTTCTTATACAAATGAACGCAAGCCTTGTCTGGTATGATTTCAGGTTGATTATATCTTGTCTCACCAGGAGCCAATTGTAAGACTCTAGAGCAGATGGAAATCACCACCACAGGGTTCAGCACACCCAGCCAGCGGTCAGATCTCTGTATTTGAATGGGCCATGAGCAAAGCATGTTTTTAAAATTCTTTTTTATTTTCATGTTTAAATGGTTAAAAAAAAGAATATCATTGACATGTAAAACTTACAGAAGTTCGAAATCCAGTCCATGAGAGAGGTCTGTTGGAACAGCCTGCTCATTGTGTTTGTGTTGTGTAGTCCATGCCTTAGGCTCAACAGCGGGGACGAGAAAGAACCGCGCAGGCTCGAGGCTGCAGTCGGCGCTTCCATGCTGCCTGGCACACTGCCTGGCACACTGCCTGGCACGCTGCCTGGCACGCTGCCTGACACGCTGCCTGGCACGCTGCCTGACACGCTGCCTGGCACGCTACCTGGCACACTGACTGACACGCTGCGTGGCACGCTGCCTGGCACACTGCCTGACCCACTGCATGGCACGCTTCCTGACACGCTGCCTGGCACACTGCCTGGCACATTGACTGACACACTGCCTGACACGCTGCCTGGCACGCTGCCTGACCCACTGCATGGCACGCTTCCTGACACACTGCCTGACCCACTGCCTGGCACGCTGCCTAGCATGCTGCCTGACACACTGCCTGACCCAATGCCTGACACGCTGCCTGGCACGCTGCCTGACACGCTGCCTGGCACACTGACTGACATGCTGCCTGGCACGCTGCCTGGCACACTGCCTGGCACACTGCCTGACCCACTGCCTGGCACGCTGTCTGACCCACTGCCTGACACTCTGCCTGACACGCTGCCTGGCACACTGCCTGACACACTGACCCACTGCCTGGCACACTGCCTGACCCGCTGCCTGGCACGCTGCCTGGCACGCTGCCTGGCACACTTGACTGACACGCTGCGTGGCACG